CATTATAGATATAAAATTTATGATAATCTGTACTACAAAAAGTTTTAAAGAGGGGTATATAAATTACTTCGTTATGGTGACTCTGTGCGTGTGTACTCACGACTTCGAATGGCTCATAATATTTAAATTCTGTCAAATACTTATTTACTATTTTAGGACTTATAAAGGATCTTGAACTACCTGTGTCTATCATAAACTTACTATTTATTTCGGGAATTTCAATATGTGGTAACTTTAAAGCACCGTGATGATTTAATTGTATTACTTCGGTTTGTCGGTTATTGAGGCTTGTGTATGAAAATTTTCAGGTTCTGAGGTGTCAACCGCTTCTTCTGAATTTTGTTCTAATTGACAATAATTATCTGGTGTAAAATCATTCGGATCTATATTATAATATTCATAGGGATAATTATCTTCGTGTGTATAAAATGTTTCATGATCGTCATCTGTGTAATTATTCATATCGTCGTTCATGTAATTTGTATAAAATAAATTATTTGATGTTCTTGGTGTCATAAAATTTGGCTTAGCTTGAGGCGCCGTTCGCATCGATACATCGTTATCATATCTATGTACCGGTTTTGGTTGATGATTTTGTGGGATACCAAATTTAAATTGTTGTTGATTCGCTGTTTGGGGAATTGCCTGTATCCAAGTTGAGGTGGTCCACCACCAAACTTAATTTAATTGTGAGGATTATTAGGATTATATATCCCTTGCTTTTGGTTGGTACCGAATTTAAAATTAGAGAAATTAGGTTTAAATCCTTGAGGTTGTTGTTGTGATTGTATTCCGAATTTGAAATTCATTGGAGGCTTATTGGTATTGGGGTAATTGATTAAACTTATTAAAATTATTTTGTGAAAAATTATTTCGTGATAAATTATTTTGTGGTAAATTATTTTGTGGAAAATTATTTTGTGTTAAATTATTTTTTTCATTAATATTTTGAGTATATTTTTGTCTATTAACACTCCGTGATTTATATTGGTTAAGGAAATTTACTTCTTCCATTACTACACTGAGCGCGTCTTCTAGAGTTGTACATCTATGTAATCGGACAACGCGTATCATATCTTCGGGCAAATTGAAAAGGAAAACATTTAAACATGTATGGTTATATATATTCATCTTCGCGTTCTTAATATTCTCGTCCTATATTAAATTAATTTTTGAAAATAATGTGCTACGGACGCTTTGGATTCGATTACAAAAGCTTAAATATGACTCGCCTTGATTAATTTTAATATTTTCTAATTCAATCGAAATACATTCTTCAGTTCTAGGATCTCCGAAATGTTGGATAAGAGTTGTTCTTAGCTCCTCCCAATTATTAATGTCTTGTCTCTCGCTAATCAAGTGACTTGCCTTACCTCTAAGGCGGCTTGTTATAACATGAAATATGTATATATCTTGTGCTATATTCGGACGTTCTGGCCTAAAGGCTCTAATGACATACTCACTTTTCTTTAAAAATAAATTTAATAGTTTTTGTTCCCCATCGAACTTAGGTATGATATTTAGAATATCAGTTGGAATAGTGCGTATTTCTTGCATTTTTAAGAAAAAATATTTATTACAATTAATTAAAAAGTTTAAATTTATATTCTTTACTTACTTACTAATTCAATATAATTTTCTTTTGTTTTCAATTAAAATCTTTATCAACTTAAAATTACTTAAATCTATTTTACACAATACACAGTCAAACGGAAATAAAATGGGACAGGTTGGAATGCGAAGAGGTTTACTCACATAAGTCTGCAACCCATTTCTTCTATTTATAACTGCTGAATCTTCTTTCACTTTTTGACCTTTTACCGTCGAATTACGCGATCAATAATGACTTATTTGTTTGGTCGTAAAATATCCGTTAAATGCGTAAAAACACACGCGCAACCCTACACTCAGACTGATTTTAAGTCTTCACAGGCACAGGATCACGACGGATATCCTACCGGCTGCGCCAGTCAAATCGCGACGGTATTCAAAGGTTTTTTTTAAAAAGGAAAACTTTATTAAGTAAATTACACTTAATATTCTTAACTTATAGTCGATATGAGACTCTTATTCTAAGTTGGTCGATGTTAGACCCTAATCCTAAGGTGGTCGATGCAAGACCCTATCACTATGGTGGCCGATATTAGACTACCTTTAATATAATTATAATCTTACAGCTAAAACCCCTTACATGATAACTTTGATTCGTGGTACACAATGGAATAATAAGACTAAGCATTGATTGCATTAACGCTTATAGTGCGTTTTGGGTATCTGTGTGACATTGTAACTAAATTGAAATTAATAATTTAATTTATGATCGACGCATTCAATTTAACATTTTGATACTATTAAGTACAGTAATAAAACGGGTCAAATAGCTAAAATCCATTGTTTTCTAAAAATGCTCTTGACAATTCAAAGAAATTGTTTTACGATTCTGATGACCATTGATAATTAATAGCGTGTTTCTAATTAGACATAAAAAGTACGTTATCTTTCCATTGAGGATCTAAAAAACCTTGGTTGTAACCTTGTTATAATAAAATAATAATTTACTTTAACATTTAATAGTTGGCTCAGTCGAAATTTAGTACTATACCTTAGTATAAATAAACTCTATAACAAAATGTTTTACTCTAAATTTGAATGGTATGTTATGGTCTATCGGGGCCACTGTTTTCTTAATAAGCATCTCTTTGTCCTTGCCGACAGTCAATTTTGCGGGGGCTGTTTCAGCGCAGAGGAATCAGTCACTACGTAGTGCTGGAACGCGTGACTGTGGCATGGTCTATGGAGCACTTTTGGCTGGCTTAAACTCCAACTATGCTCCAATGGACAAGAGAAATGATCACGAAACAAATACCGAAATCTTGTGCCCAGACCAAAAAGGTTGTAGCGCCACCTAGTAGTGTTTTTTTAAGGTAGTTCATACTATAAATGAAACGTAGTACTACTTTTGCCATACGTTTGCCTAAGTATTGAACACAGAGTCTAAATTAAGATTGATCTAATGTATAGTAACGGATGAGAAATATATAAAGTACATGTATTTCGGAGCAATAAGGGAACGTACCCATACTACGTGACCCGTTCAGGGGGGGAGCGGAGTCTTTAAAATACTATGGTCAGTCACAGGAGCTGACTCAGGTTTTTATGACGTAGTCGATTTTAAGAAATCTCGTATTTTTTCGACCTATATTCGAATATTGCGCGCAGTGTTTAGCGCTTTGTAAACTTACAGTTGGTGGCACTGACGCACATATGAGGAAGAGTAATATAAAAACGAGTATGAGCCAAATTATTATTTTTTTTTCAATTTTTGCCTGTAAAATGATTAAAAATCGTAATTATGAATTACTACGTGAAAACTAAAGGGGGAGAGGGGGTCTTGGCATATACTACGAGTGGTCACCGAAGGGAGGGAGGGGTCGAAAAAAATAAAAAAAAATAGGTCACCAGCCCCAGGCCAGGCAATAGGCCCCGGGTAGTATGGGTAGGTACGTTCCCTAACGTGCTGAATGCTATGTTATAGGGATTATAAACGTTAGTCAAATCATTCCGAAACCGTTATAAGACGTTACATTTGTCGATGTGGCTAGATTTAAAAATTAACGACCATTAAATTATCGATAATATAGTCAATATTAATATTGAAAGTAATTTATTCTTCTTATAGTGATTTCTGCTTCCAAAGGATAAATCATCATCGCTACTTTAATTTTTGATGCGACACTTCGGAACAATGACTGCTTTGACCAAATCATTGCCGAAAGGTATTATAATGGTCTCAGCGAGAAAAAGTTATTGTGGTGGTGATTTATTGAGCGGAGCGAGCGAAGCTCCCATGCGCCCACTCTTATGACACTCTGAACAAACACTAAGGCTTTTGAACGGCTTAACCGATTTTGAAAATTCTTTTTTTAAATTAAAGATGGAAAAATTTCCCATGCTATAGGCTATAAAAACTCAATAATATTTATGAATAAATCACAAAATAAGCGGAAAAACAACTTCGAAGAAGACCTAAAACTAAAAAGTCCTTTCAACAAAATCAAATCTTTAAATTAAGTGTTTTGAATATATGTATTTTTACTCATCATTAAAAATTTAGTTGAACACTCGCTCCGCTCAGATTTGTGCTGAAGCGAAGCAGAATTGCGAGCACTGCGGCGTCCTAGTTACTACACTACATCAGTCTGTGCCTCAGATTTCTGATTAGTGATCATTTGCCGTCGACTTTTTGGGTCTAAGGAGTGCCGTTTCCTCACGATGTTTTCCTTCACCATACAAGCGAGTGTTAAATGCGCACATAGATAGAAAGTCCATTGGTGTCGGTGAACAGCCGGGGATCGAATCTACGACAGCAGAAGCTACAACATTCCTCTTTCGTCTGTGTTACGGGGCATTAACATTTTATATAACTTAAAAGATTTAATGATTTTGGAAAAATTGGAATTAAAAAGGAATAAATCAGATTGTGCTTTATTTAAAAGATTTACAAGTATGAAACACAATAACAATTCTTAAATGAAACCTTTTATTTGTATATAATTAAGAATTAACAATATATCTTAAGGTAGACATTAAAAATAAGTTTGCATATACTTGATTAATGGCAATTAATTAATACAGTCTCGTTTGTTTTCCTTTGGTGCAAAATATACAAAAATTCAATACAAAACACAGTAAAAATGCCCTAACTTTATGATTCTTTACGTATTTCTCTTAGAAGTCATACAAACAACTTTCAGCATATAAAATATATATAGATAGGTTTATATTTGATTAACTGTTCTAAAAAAATTACATCTTGAAAACATAACCTTCCTTCGATTTGGAAGTCGGTTAATTGTGACTAAATCGTTTCGCGTAATTTGTAATAAGGTGAAAATTCAAACTGAAAGATGAAACTACGGTGCGTTCCGTTGGAAATTACATTAATTCAGGTAAATATCGTCAATTCCTTTATAAAATCTGTATAAAATTAAAAAACTGGACTATAATATTATTTCGTTCTTATAACTGCGATTAAGCTGTTTGTGTGGTAAAACTATTGAGTTCAGGAGAATCCTCTCTGCTGGAACTGTTACTCCTGCACCTGGAATTATTAATACCAAATTATAATAGGTTTCATATTAAAACATAATATGTAAAGACAAAACACAATTCATATACAGGTTGTACCAAAAATTAACGCCAACGAAATCGTGTGATAGAGCAGGTTGTAGCCCAAAATATTTATAAAAGAAAATATGTATGTTGCGTATTATTGAAGTTAGGGACTAAACACACTATTATTCAGCTCCATTCGCGTTTCGCTGAACGATTTTAGTCACATTTATACAGCTCTATCAGCCGTGTACGGCGTCGTAAGAATGAGAAAAATCATAGCGTGCTATTCATGCGCATTCAACGTCGAACGCGGCGGAACAGCGCTGAACGCTAAAAACACATTTATCCTCATTTTATACTGATTTGCCGCGAAAGCTGAATTGATGCGGAAAGCTGAATAAATGCGTACGCGTCTCCATACAAAATCGTTGTTTTCTATTGACAAACGCTGAATAGAGCTGAATATGTATGAGTAGACCCTAATACTTCTTTAGGCGCGTTAGGGAAAAATAATGACAGTAAATTTTTACGATGCGCGCGCACACCGCCACCAAAAACCGACACCCTGAATATTATTGAAATAAAAAAAATATTTAATTATGTAGAAATATTTTCTTTTTGTAATTTTTAAATAAATTCTATTTAACTAGAAAATTTAAATTTAAATTAATTTAATTTAAACCTTTTTTCTATTGTTACTGTCGTTTTTTCTACAAACGTAGAATAAGGGGAAAGATAAAAAATTTAAAAAGATGTTTATCTTGTTACTAAATAAATACGTTAATAAATAAATTTTAAGCATCCTGTGAAGTTCTATATATTATGACATCCAATCGTGCTGAAAAAAAAATACTATGCAATATAGGCAAGTGCTATAAAAAAGTCCGCATGTAGTCCGAAATCAAATTTTTTTTACTAACTACCCCCACTACAGTTTTTTTAAGTCGGTAAAATGACAGTTTTGACAGAAATATTTAAATTTTTGTGTCACAAGCTAATATTACTTACCTAGTATAGTGACAGAAGGATTAAGACGTCCATCGTTATTGAAAAGGGGTGTGTTATCCATTTTCGCGAAGGGTTTATTAGGATCAGGATCCGATGGGGTCCCTTCGACCCTGGACCATTCCCCAACAGACGAATCTTGACCCACTGTAAGGGTTTTAATATATTATAAATGTTAACGCAGTGTACAGATACCGGCTAACTTCTTGAGCATTAAACAAGGGAGTGGGGAAAGTTTGCGCAGCGCGGGACACAAACGACAAATGATTTACCGATCACGCAATCGACACGTCACTCTCCCACCGCCGCGCACCACCGAATGATACCTAAAATCGCTTCTGCGCAGGCAAGGACATTTGTTAAAGATGTTTGCCGGTCTGTATACTCATGAATACAGTTCTAAGTTTGATATCGTTATAGACGTTATGTGTGACGGTAGATAACAGAGGTGGATATTTGATATATTAGGTCCTTACATATGAAATTGGCGTTTTGTATGGGAGGAACAAAAAGTCGAATATTTTTAAATATAATATATTTAATTAATCAAAGTATGAACCATTGTTTTCTATGCACTTTTGCCATCTCATAGGTAGTTCATTGATCCCTTTACTAAAAAAAACAGTCAGACGGGAATCAATAAAATCTGTGAAGGCGATTTGGACTGCTGATCAGAGTTAAATTTTTTCCCTTGCAAGAAGTTGTCCAAATTTCGAAAAAAATGGTAATCTGTTGGAGCAAGGTCCGGGGAGTACGGAGGATGTCTTAGACATTCCAATTGAAGCTCTTCTAATTTGGTAGCCGTCTGTTGTGCAGTGTGTGGTCTAGCGTTGTCGTGAAGTAGCAGTGGCGTGGAGCGATTGACCAGCCTAGGTTGTTTAGCCGCTAGCTTTTCCATCATGGTTTGCAATTGCTGACAATAGACATCAGCCGTAATAGTCTGGCCAGATTTGAGAAAACTGCAATGAACAATACCGGCACTAGTCCACCAAACGCTTACAAGTAACTTTTTTGGAGTTAATTTTCGCTTGGGGCAGGATTTGGCTGGCTGGCCAGGATCCAACCATTGCGCTGAGCGCTTTCGATTATCGTAAAGAATCCATTTTTCATCACAGGTAATGATTTGGTTTAAAATACCTTCATTATTGTGCCGGTTCAGTAATGTAACGCAGCAGTCGACGCGCGTTTGCCGGTTTGCTTCAGTCAATTCGTGAGGTACCCATCTTTCAAGCTTTTTAATCTTCCCAATTTGCTTCAAGTGAATTAAAACAGTTTTATCACTAACACCGCAGCCTGCAGCTAACTCGGACGTGGTTTGCGATGGATCCGCTTCCACAATAGCCTTCAATACTTCATTATGAACTTGGGTCTCAGGCCGTCCACGGGGCTTGTTCTGCAGGTCGAAATTTCCAGAACGAAAACGTTGGAACCAAAAACGAACTGTGTTTTCTTTTGCAACATGACCGCCATACACATCATTCAAGCTTCGAGTCGTTTCCGCAGCACTAGTGCCACAGCGGAACACTCGTAAATAATGCGATACTTCCATTTTGTAAAATGAGTGACGCAAACAGAAAAAAACAAATGAATGAAAGCACAAATACATGAGTAAATAGCTGTACAAATTTGAATTTGGAATTCCTTACCAAAGAGGAGAACTAAGTGATTAAAGTAGCCAGTACGAAAAACGCCAATTTCATATGTAAGGACCTAATATATATATACATAACGTTTGGACCATAATATTACCATTAATGGTAATGGTAAAGGTAATGTCAAACAAGGTCAAAATGTCAAACTTGAGATTTTGGAATTTTTACGCAAAATAATATCAGTTAAGAAAGATACATTATAACATATAAATCATCATCAGAAAAGAAAAAAGAAAAGGAAACTCGGAGTATTTCGGACACGTTTTACGTAACACCAAAAAATACGAGGTCCTTCAACTAATCATACAAGTGGCAGGAAACCTGGGCGCAGACGCACGTCTTGGTTGAAAAACCTAAGTAAATGGTTTGGTCAAAGCACCAAGTCATTGTTTAGAACCGCGGCATCCAAAATTAAACTAGCCATGATGATCGCCAAACTTCGCAAGTAGATGACACTATAACAAGAAAATGAATCATCCTCGTTCACAGGCATAGGTTCTAACCTCGCCTGTACCCCAAATGAATTTCTATGCACTCACTTCTACGTTGAAGGAAAACATCGCGAAGAAACCGTAGACCCAAAAAGTCGGCGTGTGTCAGTCACAGGAGGCTAACCTACTAGCTTAATTGATAAGATACACAAATCTGAAGACCAAGTGGTTGCCCAATTGGAATTTTTTTTATTGAAGAAATAAGAACTGGGGGCAAAAGGGCAGGAGGCTCACCTGATATTAAGTGATCCCGCCGATACTCTCAATACCATAGGGCTCGCGAGTGCGTTGCCGGCCATTTAAAAATTGGATTTTTTTTATTTTTTATTTAGTACATAAGACAAACCGTAAAAATCAATAATTAATCAAAGTACACTCACCGACAGAATACATAACAAGCGAATGTTCATGTACAGTCGCGTTGTTAAGTACTATTGACTCTTTGATCCTCACACCGGCCTTTATCGTCACTCCTGCGCCGATAGATACATTGGGTCCTATCTAAAAAAAAGTATATACATAAATGCTTAAAAAAGTGATTTTAAATATCAAGTAGTATGTTTTTCCTCGGAACGAAACCCAGGTCACTTGGTCAATTGGATTTTTTTGCACAGAGGAATAAACTTGGATGTAAATTTTATGTACTAAAATGAGAAGACGCCTAAAACATAAAAAAGTGTGTGTACAAAGTACACATGTCAGAAGTGAAACTTCTGTGGCAAACTGATCTTTAAGTGTTGTTCATATTTATACAAATCTAAAAGTTTAGATTTCCGATACTTAGAGGGACGGAAAAAGGAAGATATGTTAGGAATTTAATGAATTTAATTGTCATTAAAAATATATTAAATGTCGAATAATAAATAAAAAAAATAACTTAAAAAAATAAAATTTTATTACAATTCCTTCACTAATTAATCGAAAGGAACTTCGTTCCATCCGGGTGTCCCTTGACAACTCTCAAGTTTTTTTATTACTTTTTAATTAATATATTGGTATTCTCATTGTAAACTAAACTTCAAAACTAATATATTGTTGGTATTATTATCATATATTATATTATATTCTTTACGTCACTATACTAAACTTCGATAAAAAAAGCAACATGGCGCGTAACCGAAAAACGTGACGATTTTGTACAAAATTTCTCCCATACGTCGATAAAGAAGTTTCACTTCTAAAATACTAAAAAAATATTTGTTATATTTCGTTGATGTAGAATAACCGAATATAATAATAATAATAATGTCTAAAGAAAAAACTTTTAACCGGATTAAAGTTATGTATTATTATAAATTTACAATTATTTAACATAATTTTAAATTTATCCGACGTTTCGCGTGCTTTACAGCGTCACGTCACGGTGACAACTAAAAAATAAAAAATGTAAATGTGGTGTGTAAATTTATAATAATACATCTTTAATCCGGTTAAAAGTTTTTTCTTTAAATGTTTAAAAGTTATGTCAATCAAAGACAATAATAATGTCGTTTAATAAATTACATTATGCGTTTTATTCTTATAGTCACCTTAGTTTTACAATCAAACAGTATGTATTTCTCTTTCCCTATACTAATAATCTCAAGAACTACGATTTTTTATTAAGCTATTTTATTACTACGAAATTAGAAGTAATTATTTTATATAATTTTTATACTTACTACAGCAGTATTATGAACAATGGCAGTGGGGTGTATGAACACATCAGGCAGTATCTTACACGGCGCATCGATCGACTTATTTTGATGTAATTCTAGATAGTGCCTATTTGCGTATATCGCTGAACCAGCCGTCTTCACTTGAGACCACCAATTTGTAACCTAAAAAATATTATAAATTATTAACTAAAAATCATATTAATTTAATTAATACTACATTTTTCTGACATCTAACTCTGACAATTTTTATTTTACTAATAGTGTATATTCGTATTAAAAAAAAAACTATTAATAGCTTCAGAGGCACACATACTTTTTACAAGGCATACACATTTTTATATTGCAATTTTTTTTATTAATTAAAGTATGTATGTATTAAATATAATTTGTAATTACTTTTAATTTAGTAATAAGACCTTTTTTTAATTCATCCATCATCATGTACCGCTATCAACGCAAATAAGGGTTTAATTTAAAAAAACTGGGAATCGAACCCACGCCCATTAGTTTACGCGGCATAAGGTAAGCTACGAGGGCCGTTAGTGGGAGTATACATAATATATAGCTGTATTTAATTTGTACAGCTTTAGATTCAATTTCCAAGATATTTTTAGTACATTAATATCTATAAAGAAGAATGGTTAGTAAAACAGCCATAGATATGTCTGTCTTGATGTATTACATATTTATTAAAATATTCAAACCTGTAGTGCGTACAATTTGTGAGTGCCTGCAAGTTGAGACAGCACGTCTTGTTCCCATGACATGTATTCAGGACCTCCATGGCCATTGGCACTGTAATATTTAAAGGAACGTTAAAACTTGCCAGCTAATAAAATAAGATAAATTATTTAGGTTCTGAAAAATGTTTCATAGACAAATTATTCTTTTCATATCAACATAAGACCCTATTTTGAATAGCAGGGTTAATTGATGCATCAACATTCAAGTAAATTAATAATGTCAAAGAATAAAAAATCGTGTTAGTAAATTAGTGGATAGTATTTGTGAATAATATTTCTCTTTAATAATTGTTTGCGATATTCTTAACCACTTCAAAAACGGAGATCAGAAGTTTTGTGTTTAAAATGCATGTAATATTGTTGGAATGGAATAACATTTGCGTATGAAGCTATTAGGCTTGTGTGCTAAATTTTAAGTGTATAAGTGTATAAGTGTAGTGTAAGACGAAATCAACTGTTTAAACAAATTACTTATCTATTTTTTCATAACAAAATAACCACAATTTGACTGAAAGCCACAAAACAGTAGAAAAAGAGGTGCAATTAGATTGAAGAGTGATAAAATATATTTTTTATAGTTTAAGTAGAAATAAGTCATTTTACCTATAAAATCTATCCTGTTTACTCTGAAATGCTTCAGCCATTACTTGGAACACTTGTAATGAGCACACATAGACTCCACAATTTATTAATGTTGAAACATAACTGTTAGGCTTCTCTACATAATGTGTTACAGCATTTGTGCTTGTTTCTCTGACCATACATCCATAATATACAGACTGTTGTCTTGTGGCTTCTGTGCCCATTATTGTGACCTAGAGATATGTATTGCACATGTATAACATTGTTATTGTATACTATTATAGTTCATATGAGTGACCAGTTATTATCACTTGCAAGTTTGTATACTGTTGATAAATGTAAAACATATATCTTGTATATGTAAATAATATTATAAAGTTTTACACCAAACTATAAAATTTAATTCACTGTAAAAGCACTTTACATAGCATTTTATTTATTAGTAATGAATAATATATAAAACTCTGATTAAACTAAAAAATTTCAAGTTATATAAATATATTTAAGGACTATATACATATTCAATACCCTCTAATAAATATTATAAGGCTTACCAAACCATCAGGCTTTTCGTCATGGAACTTCCACAACTTTTTCAAAGGAAAATCTGCACACACATCACCATTTAATAGGAAAAAGCCAGTGGGATTTCCAGCCCTTACTTGGTCCCTAAAATGGTACAAACCACCTCCTGTGCCCAGTGGCATAAATTCATAAAGGTATCTGGAATATTACAATTAATTTTTTTAATATTTACTAGCTAAGATACAGTTATTGTTACTATAAGCAATTCTAAAGTAGTCACCTAACTGTAATTAACACAATACTTAATATTCAGCATTAGCTGATCTTTATATTTTAATATGAAAGTAATTACATTTAATCAACATTAAAAATGAAAGTAAATTTTATTTGTGCAATACAGAATGTAAGTGAAACATGTAAATTAATGTTATTATTATCAGTGAAAGAGCTATATGTTTACCTATTCTATAGGGTACACATGTTAGTTTTTCTCAGATCATATATTATTTATAGTTCACACCTTATAATCAAGCGATATTCTTTCTGCATATCACTAACAAATTGGGTCATAACAGTAGTCGGGTAGGACCCAATTATCAATATTTCCTTACATTCCTCTAGTTTAGCACATGCTGCAATATGATGCTGAATCAATGGTAAACCCGCTACTGGAAATAGGGGCTTGGGGGTGTCCAGTGACAGTGGCCGAAAGCGAGTTCCTGAAATTAGACCAGATAATTCTATACTAATTCAATCATGGTTTAGGACCTCCAAAAAACGCAGTATCACACTATAACAATATACTACCTAATAAATCGCAAAAATATTTAAAAAATTAAGTATAATATAAGTATACCTATGTATTAACTTATGAAAACATATTTATTTTACTAACCGAGTCTTTCTTCAGTGGAATTAGAGCTGCACACTAATATACAAACCTTTTACTACAAATAGCGCAGTACAGTACAGTAGTTACAATAATAAAGCAATTATTATTGTACATCACAGTTACAAATGAATACCGCTTAATTTTGAAGGACACCGGTCAAACTTTTGGAGTGCTAACTAACCTTTTTGTGGTCCGCCAATAAGTATTACCGCCTTTAGCATTTTTATTGACAACTGCACTTTATTAAATTGATATTCAATGTTTACTACTACACTTTATTAAGATGGAATCTATTATGTACAAAATTTATCTCTTAAAAATGACGTGTAAACTTATAAACACGTCAATATTCTTGCACAGACTATGATTCAAAAGATTGATTTCGACAATGACACATTACTTACTACCAATCAAATAATAATAATCGATACCTAACTACTAAAGATTGTTATAGATGTTGTGCCACAATGAGAATAATTGGCTGGATTGGTTTAGGAGCGTTAGACAAAAGGTAACATTCAGAAACAGGATACAGCTGACAACGTGAACAATAATTACCGTATGTCAAAATTGTAATACAATTTTGACATACGGTAATCATAATGAATCATGAATAAAATCAGACCTTTGATAACCTTGTCAAAATTTAATACAATTTTGACGTAAGGTAGTCCGTTGTCAGACTTAGCGCTTGATCTCGTTTCTGAATCTTATCGACACTATGCGACAGGAAGGCCCGCTAACACAAACATAATTTGTATGTAACTGATCACATGATAAAGTGTATCAATCCCAAATAATTAGTAATTAGAACTTCCTGTAATTAGGTGTGTAGGATTAGTTTTTAAGTTATTTCATTCTACATCATTTAAAATACATTGCAACATTGGTGAGCCACTTCTGTGGGTTTTGAGAAAACTAAATAGTTAGTATAAATTGTTCCAAATCGGAATTAAGAAATAAAAATATTAGAATAATATACAATTTTAATTAACTTTTTATTTAAAGTAAAACATTACAAAAAGTACAAATAATATAATAAAAAATTAACAAAATTAATCTTTATATAAATAAATGGTTTATTCGAAAATAAAAAGTAAACAAATACTTAAATATTTCAATCTTCTGTCTTTTAGATTTCTGCCGAATTCAGAAAGATATGCATAGATAATAACACTAAGGGTCTCAGGACGTCCCACGTTCTTTGAGTTTATTTTCAGTTGTTTACTACTTCGATTTCGCGCACAGTGTCAATATCAGCCTTACAAAAGAAGCACAGCTTGCTGTTGAGTAGATGTTGCATTATGCAGGCTCTAAAATCATAGTAATACATAATATTTTAAACTTATTATTTCACCAGATTGGTGATAAAGACAAGCACGAATGTGTTTCCTATACAATATTTTTATAGCGGATGTCGCTTGCGAAAACAGGATTTTGTCTTAGCCAGCTGATCGTTATATTATTAATAATAATAATATAAATTAAGTTCGAACTACTCTCTAGCATTTCACTTATGTACAATATAAATAAGTAAATTTAATGAAACGTAAGAAGCCAAGACAGTATTAATAACAAATAAATCATCAGAATTATGTTTTCTAAAAAAATAACCTGCAAGAGTGATGTCCACATGGTACAAAGGCTGTATCCGCCGGTCGGGCATAGCAAATAGTACAAAGAAGATCTGACTGCGCTCCACTGGAGCCAGGCGATCTGGTCTTCAAGTAGTTATCACGGGCTGTGCGTAATTGGTCTATCGCTGCTTCTAGTGCTTTTAGCTCTTCTTTCGTTATATCATCTGGAACTGGAGCTTAAAGGTGAGTAGTGTACTCGGTGTTTAAGCCATAATGGCTATTTATCTATGTTGCTCAGCTATGTTTTTAATATGAGTAACCAATCACAATAAGGCGCGAAGAATCTCCAAGTAATAACGTCCAAATCCGAATCATTTGACCTCGATAGTCTAGAATCTAGATCGATCCACGCACGGCGGGTTTATATCTGAACATACACAGAAAAATTTAACGTTGAAATTGATAAAGCTCGTTCGGTTTTATTTTAGCCGGTTAAAAATTTATAACGGCAAAGCAATGATACGTTTTTTTGTGGAAAAATATGCATTAATTTATAATGACTATAACTCTTAGATGGTGGTCGAGACTCGGCCTATTTGACACGCTTTAAATTTAAATAACGAATCGCATTGCCTCATTGTGATTGGTCAACAGCGCCAAACGGGACCAATCATTAGCGACATGTTGATTACGTCCAACTGTATGTACGTTTTCGTACAGTTGAAACTATCCTTAGATATTATTCAAAAAAACTTTTCATATTATGTTTCATTCCGTTCTTAGGAATAATATATCCGAAAATTACTTACATTTATAGAAGGAGAACTGCTTATTGTTCTTGGAGATCATGAACTCCATACCATCGATACGAAACAATGGTTCAGTGATGAGGGATGTTTTTGCTTTAGTCAGATGCTAGAAATATACACATGAATTGTCTTATGCATATCACAACTGTACTATCATTTTGTTTACATTTTTGTGAGTTTTAATTTTCACTGTTTGACTTGACTAGGATTTAAAAAAAATATCAATAATAATTTAAGCTGTCAGAAAATTTTATCGCGCAAGTAAATATTACTCGAACACCTTTATCCATCGAACACAGTTTTATATGAACTTGCGAAAAACTACTGGTTGGCAACTTGCTTCAACAAACTACACATTTAACTCTTTACGGCGAAGAAAGATACTACTATATTTGTGATAGTAAACTTTACATTTTATAATAACATTACCTCAACTGGCAACTTCGGGTCTAAAATCTTCACTATACACCCAGCAACTGGAGCAAGCGCAACGTAATAATGGACCCTATCTGTATCGGGTAGACCTCGGGATACAAGCCTACTGAACCCCCCACTTCCCCCTCCACGTACGCAAATACGCGAAACAACTGCCATTAGAATCTAAAGAGAGACGTTTTAAAAGTACTTAATTTTTTTACAAGTAGCAAATCTAAGAAATTGCAATTTAAATTTATCTTAAGGAAATATTTTAATGTTATAATAGAATATTAAACGCATTATCAGAAAGTCGAGAAAATTATGAACGCCTGTGTCTTTACTTATAATGTTAATTATTTAGACCAATGATTCACAGCAAATGTCAAGCCGACTCCAGACTCGCGCGAGGCACCTCGCCACAAATATTGGCAAGTCGGCTGCACTATTGTAGCCATCCACTCTCGCTTTATTTAGTTGCTCGCTACATCTACGTTAGCTGCTTTATGTGCCTCCCAATATTACATATTTATTTCACAAATACAAATAAAAAATATCATATCATGCCGGCATAAATATAATTTAATTTTCGCTTTTACTTAGACGTCTTTTAAATTATAAATAAAGTCTGCATTTACGATGTTATTAGTTTTTAACTTTTGTATTTAATTATGTTTTTTATTAATTGATATAATTTGCAAATCGTTACTTTACTCCATCGTGATAAGAAGACGCGCGTCCTTACAGTGCAGTAGTTAACAACAAAGTGCACAAGCGCGAGTGCGGTTGATGCTCTCGCCTCGTCCGCTCGCGCCCTTTAACTCATGCGTCAAAAAGCGGAGAGGTGGCGAGGAGAGTATGGATGGGCAATAACATTTTCTGTTTAATCTGTTAAAGAGTTTTATGTGTATGCTTCCATAAACCAAAAAAATATTCCCCTACTTGACAAGTTCGTCCGAGTAACAGATCGTTCTGGCCATCGCTTGCCTCCGCCTTTGTTAGCAGCATTGGTGCTAAACACATGGTCATCTCCAAAGCGCGTGCCAATCCATGGTAAAGATCGAAGCAAGTAGCACAGAGCTTTATTTGCCGTGGTTCTAGGTGGGTATCTATTTGAATTCTGTCCATCTTAAAGAAATTATGAAAAATCTTAAAAATATATTTTGTATGGTAATTCTTTTTTGAATATGGTAACATTATTCTCTTGGCAAAACTGCAACTACTATAGAATTATACTCAATTTCAGGTTATTTTTGTCAAATGGTAAACAATCCTAGAGCGTTGTTTATAGTTAATATACACAATTGGTACGATATTTTAAATCTAGCCTAAAAATCAAGACATATATATATACCTAATATATCTTGCTCTGTGCCTGTAGCTATTGTTTATGTATTTTATAAATAATTATAAAAAAGCTAGTCTAGACTAGACATTTTATTGATGTCAAACGAGTTCATTAATTAACGATATTTTTATTTCATTTTGAAATTGAAAATCCAATGAAATTGTGTGAAATAAATTGTAAAATATGTTTAATGTGTATAATGATAATTTAAAGCCAACATAGTTCCTTTTTGCATTATATTGAAACATGTATACTATATTAAATATGGCATTTTTTATAAAACGGGGCAAACGAGCAGGAGGTTCACCAGATGTTAGAAGTTGCTATGCTTTCATCTTGACGAATTCTAAGTCCAACTGGTTCGGAAATACTTATGTGGGCAGCTGGATCCACAAAGGGGTGGTGCTTGGCAAAAAACTGCCTCAAAGAAATTTTTTTTAGATAGTGGGATTAAAGTATAGTCGTTAATAGCACATTTGACATACTGACAATTAACAAGTACACATACCTCTTGCATCATAGTAAAGAACTCTGAAAACGCCCAATTTAATTGGCTCAGAAGAGAATTTAAAAACAATGCAGCTTGCTTCGGATGTGTTGATAGGTAATCTCTGATTCTACTTTGTATTACTTCAGATGGACATGGGCCTATAAAAAAGTCTGAGTTAGACTTTAAATTAAATAGATATCGTTTCACACCAAATATAACAAACAAGTATACAAGGGTAAAAAAGATTCTTATCACAACTAATAAAAAACAAAAAAAGTCATTTAATATAAACTTTTTAGTATTGTCTTTTATTGACATAACTTTTACACATTTAATAAAACACTTATTTAAACTGATTATATACGTAGTTATGTAATTTAAACTTAAAATTATTTTACATAAGTTTGTTAAATGTCACCGTGACCACGCACGCTGTAAAGCACGCGAAACGTCGGGATGTTTTTTTAAATTATGTAAAATAATTATAAGTTTAAATTACATAACTATAATCCGTTTAAATAAGTGTTTTATTTAATAAACTTTTTAGTTTTACATTCTCATCCGATTTAGTTCAATATCCGTAGCGCTATAGTCGCAAATTTGGGAAGTCCGGACCACTATTACTATAAATGGATACATAGAGTAGGAACTTGGAAGAGTCTTTTGTCTTTCTTTACCCAATGTTTTGTCTCAGTGTCGCTGATTTCCACGCACCATGTTTTACATATAACATTTACATTGTTTTAAGTATATACGCTTTGTTTTTGAAATATATACTTATTTACCGTGCGCTATTAGTAATTTATAAATAAATAATTCTTCATCAGTCTTATATTGTATATAATATTGTTGTTTATTAATATTTTAAGTCGTTACCAAAACACTGACTCATCAGCCCTGCATCGACTTTAGCACCAAGATTGTTAACTGTTGGTTCTCGATCTCCGTATCTAAACAAACATTTTACAATAAATATTATTATTATTATTTATTAAAAGGAAGGACAAAAACAATAAAAGATAAATAAAGAATAAAAAAATTAAGGAAGTTGCGCAGAACTTTTAACACTGAGGTCGTGTGTTTGTACCCGGGCTGTGCAAGTATCCACTTACACATATAGGGAAAGATTACACGTAACAGACACAGAAGCCTGAGTCTATAAAGAAAAACACAGAAATCTTAAAACATTTATACCTGGCAGCTAAGTGCGGCCACTGTCTGTGACGGAAACCGAATCCGGACCCGTGCCAGAACCGTACAAGCACCCAGTTGGATTGAGCCCAGGCACGATTCTGATATGGACGTACTAGTTCTTCAATCATCGCCATTTGTCTGTTAAAAATTTTAAATTAGTTTATACTAGATATCAGCCCCGTAAACTTTGAAAAATTATGTACATAAATCTTCCAAATTAACCATTCAAGATATGGGTGAAAATCGTAATAAATTCCGTGCAGTAGTAGTTTTTGAGTTGATTACAAAGAGACAAAGAAATGAGACGCCGCGAAGGATTTGTTTTTATATGATATAAAAGTTAGTATATGTCGCTCACTATTGGTTGGCATTATCAAGTTTATCTCCGACATACATTGCAAATCTGACTACCATGAAAACGGGTCAAATATACATATTTACATATAAGTACACGCCTTTTTACCGCAGAGGTAGGCAGAGTCGGATCTCCACTTGCTACTATCCAGACATTTCACGCATTATCAACTTTCATGACTTTCATACATGGAAACAATGGCCCGGCCCAATTTGCTTTGATATAATTCCTGTGATCTACTGCTACGTGCTTATTAGTTTGTGTTTTCATTTTATTAAAGAAAAATACTTACTGTTTGAGCGGTACCCTCTCAATCGCCCTCATAGTGGCGGGTTGGGTGGCAAAAGAGGCCAGAGTTTGTACTAACGATTCACGAGTGCTGGCCAAGACGATGCGCGAGTCTGCAAACTCAGAGCAGAGGAATGCCGCGCATGATACCACTAGGTCGTCCCATTCTGAGAGAATATCAGAAATCATATTTATTATAACATTATGAATGTCAATATAAAAAATGGATTGTCTAAAGTTACATTTACTACTGTCCCCAAATAGGCGTAGAGCATGCGAGAAAAATTATCTAGTAACCCTCCGATAGTCATTTTAATCCCCAAATTTTTTGGTTACAAAGAAATTGTAAGGAACTTCAATCATGCCATACTTCACTTGATATTGAAACGAAATATCATAATAGTAACTAACACTTAGCAACAGCAGGCAAAATAGTAACACATTATAGTGAGAACAAAACAAACATTTTGTAAAACAGGGGGCAAACGGGCAGGAGGCTCACCTGATGTTAATTGATACCGCCCACGGACACTCTTAATGCCAGAGGGTTTGCGGGTGCGTTGTCGGCCTTTTAAGAATTGGTACGCTCATTTTGTTAAAAACTGTCTATCTAGTTATTGGAAAATCTAGCTTAAAGTAAGAAATATCATGTACTTAATTTATTTAAAGAAATGTTGCATATCTTAGTAATATCCTAATAATTTTGATAACAATTCTAATATTATTATCTATTTATCAAAAATACAGTGTTTCCAATATTCTTAACCTACATAGTACCTATGTAATAATAATAACGAATAAATAGAAAATTTAAACCAATTTATAAAGTTTGGTTCCTGTGGCAGAGTTTAGACCTTTAACGCTGGCAGCATAACCTTGCTGTATTGCGATACTTATTCGTTGAGCGAAGAAAGCACCAGCTCTGGGGTCACCGGTACCACCAGGCGCCAACTTAAATCTTTGATTAGCGCCTGTTCAATTGAACCTCACGGCCCAAGAATCTTTACTCAAAAGAAAACAAAAATGTTTTTTCTTTCATCAAAGTCAGAGAAACGTAGGTATTATATGTTAATTGTCATAAGAATTCTGTTAAATAGTATTAAGTAAAGTTTGAAATTCTAAATGAGTTATTTTCATTTAAAAGACATAATAATTAATTAAAAAATCTTGAAAAACACTAACATATTTCACCCAACTTCTAAACACTCCTCCAACGTTCGATGTTTGAAAGTAATACCTTGCTTATTTATTTTTTATGATTCTTGAACAAACCGGAAATCTGATGTATAGGCACAGTAGGATGCATGTACAGGCGCAATGTATTGCAAAGTTCCAACATAGCGTCCACGTGGTAGTCAGGTATGAACGCGAACAGAGACTCCGCAAACTCCTGCCTCCCTGTTTTACGCTTTATATTATACAAATATTAAAGCAGTTTTAACCTGTCTATATGTCAATTATAGAGCAGTGCTGGCCTAGTGGCTTCAGCGTGCGACCCCCATCCCTGAGGTCGTATCCCCGGCTATGCACCAATGGACTTTTCTTCTATGTGCGCATTTAACATTCGCTCGAACGGTGAAGGACATCGTTAGCAAATCGGCTTGCCTCAGATCCAAAAAATCGAAGGCGTGTGTCAGGTACAGGAAGCTGATCACCTACTTGTCTATTAGATTGACAAATGATCAAAATTCTGAGGCTCAAACCTAAAAAGGTTGTAGCGCCACTGTTTTTTTAATGTACATGCATTTAAATAAAAAATAGCCTTTTATTTCTAGCTAAATCAAAGTAGAGGAAACTTAATCCTATTATAATTTTGAAAACAAATTATTTTTTATCTGTACTTTTTAATTAGTTTGCAAGAACTTATCCGCAGGTGAAGGTCTCCTCCAAGGAGTAGAGGAGGGGATAGTATCTCGTACTTACAAGGTCAAAACTTATTGTTTAATGGATCCAAGAACTTTTTTCAATTTTACTGTTATTAAGTTAGTTTTTGCGACATACCGGTCATGCGGTCATCTAGTTGAGAATGTGACACAGCTTGTGGAGTTTCCGTTCTAGATGGCGGGCTCAGCGGGCTAAAAATGAGCATATTTTTAGGAACATGAAACAGTAATTTTGACTCAAGACAGACCCTTTAGAAACGGCCTGGAAATTCAATAGAATTGTTTCGCCAGAAATCGACCCAGCACCACGGGCTTATAAAAGATTTATACCATCCAAGCGTTATAAGCTGTAAATAAATAAAGTATGTAAAAGAATAGATATGTTAAGAGTGCACCTAAAGCTAGAAAAATGTAATTTTTCTAGCTTTCACTAGATTTTTCATTAGATTTCACCACCCGCGCGTCTTTAGTGACAATCACCGCGGAGCAAAATCTATAGTAAAGATAGCGGCAAACATCTTGAACAAATGCCTGCGCAGAAGCGATTTTTAGGTATGACTTGCGCGGTAGTGCGCGGCGGCGGGAGAGTGACGTGTCGATCGCATGATTGGTAAATCAGTTGACGTTTGTGCTCACTCCCTTGTTTAATGCTCAAGAAGTTTGCCGGTATCTATACAAAGGCTCACTCGAGGGCATTTACTTTACTCGTGGTAATTATAATTATATCGAGCGCTGGCGTAAAGAAGAGTGGTGTTCTTATCTCTCTGGGGCGATAGCGACTGACTTGTAAAACAAACATATGCCCAAAGTTGCATGATATGAGACGGACAAAGGAGGAACAAAAATAAAGGGCCAAATGCTTTTTTTAAATATCTCGTAAAATATACTGTATTTAATAAAATCGCTAGTAATAGCTTTAGCCCAACTAATGTTATGTAATCGAATGAATTTTTGGCTCCATAATACTTGCCATGATTAAATAAAAACGAAATTAGACAAAAGTTAGAGGTGACTTAATTATATTTTTGTATCAAAGAATTTATATTGTATTATGATAATTAGAGTCGACAATCGAAATTATAATGAAGGATCAATACATATTTATTGTTTTTCAATCATCAAATCAATGATGACTGATTTTTGGTTAATTCTCTAAATGTCGACTACGAAAATAATTTTCAATTCATTCAATGAGATCAACACACCTTTGATCAGAGCTAGAAGTATATTCAAGTTGAAGTGATTCATAACTACTTTTCCCCAATAAGGAGCTTTTTCCTGGCAGTATCTCCTTACTTGCTACCTGTAACACAGTCCAATATAGTCTATCAAATTTTGATCAATGCCTACTTAAATATTTTCTAGGTCTTCTAATATGTAGTCAAAAAGATTTTAACTTTTGTTTTACTGTAGTGACCCTACATCTCCACACAACACCAAGGGATCTAGCGCTCTTCGTTGAATATTGTTAAATGGAAGAAGCTGGTACTGCTGAGGTACGGGAGTATTACTTGTAACTTTATTTACAATTTGTTCCGTCTGTGGCGGTACGCTTAGTTCTATAATATTTAATTGGTTATAACACACTATCAGATATTTTATCTGGTGTATTGTTGTCATTTGGTTTTATAATTCTAAAACTCCAAGATTACATATACAGACTATCTACTATATATGTTAATGTCCCAAGAACCCGCCAGATAAAGAGACAGAGTATAAATGGCGGATGTGATATAAAAAAAATATCAGTTTGTATTAGCTGTAGCTGTCTCGCTCTATTTCGTAAAACTTTTAATTAAGTGCTACGTCATTTTTGTTAAGTCATGTGACGTTTCTAAAAACATTGAAAGTTTTCGGACGCTGCCATAAGTAAAGCCCTTTTTGGGGTTTACGGGAAATAAAATTCAAACAAAAATGCAACCAAAAGGCTGAAGCTGTATGAGGTAGCTCTACTGGATTATCACCTGCATGCTCGCATAATCTGGGTCCGAAGCAAGCCTCAACGAATGCAGTGTTCCAGTAAAATGCTTGGCTAATTCCTGTTGTCTTTGTTTGGTCCAGATTGCGCCAATAACCCATCCCATTTGTAGGGCACTTGATTCCAACTTCTCCTGCATTTAATACCCAATTTATATTTTCAATCAACTAGAATTATTATAGAAAGTGCAATTCACGAAGACGCGCCCCACCAAGTTTTGGTTGAAAGAATACACACGCACAACACATACCATAATGTTTTTTTGTATAGAATGGGGCAAACATAGGCTCACTGGATTAAGCAACACCGTCGCGTATAAAAACACACACACACTGCCAGAAGGCTTGTAATTGGGTTGCCGGCCTTTTAATACAGCATACTACTTAGCATTTATACTGCTTTCTAAAATTTTAATGACACTTTTGAGTCTTGTTTACTAGACAATGTTGTTTATCATCATATTTTCTGCTTATTCTGAATACAGCGATATTTTTACCGCACAAGCAAACTACAGTTTCAAATTACATGTATTGACACTCAAATACCACATAAACTGCTTTCGACCTATCCAACTCTTTAAAAATTTTCTCCATTAACAGCTTTCTCGTTTTTTCTTGCTCCGAAAGTACCCCGTTTGCACCTAGGGAATTGAAACTTTAAAAATCGCAATAAAGTAATCACACTGAAAGACTGGTCCAACTTTTTATCGGCAATAGTTTAGCCACTTCCTTTCTTACCCGAATGTTTGATACGGCTTGATAGGTTCCAAATAAATATATGTATCTATATGGAAATGTTGTGTTGGGTGAGTTAAGGAAGTTTTACAGTGTTCAGTGTTGAGAATGTAAAAACTGACGGACACAGGACGAAACTTTGCGCGCGATGTGATTGGACAAACGAACGTAATTTGACCAGTGCAGTGATGCCAACTTGACAACACTTTTGTTATGGGGATTTTTAGGGGGTACCTACTTTTTTCAAAAAATCTTTTCACTTCTTTAAAAAACACACGATTCTATACAATTTATTAAGCCTCGAACGCAACCAATAAGCTAAACAAAATATAAACTCCAATCGTGACTATAACTGAAATACCACAAAGTTATAATACTCCAAGATCGAAATTTATTTTTGTTTATGCCTACTTTTATTTTATTTTTTATTTATGCCTACCAACCCGGTACAATTGTTTTGCGAATCTAAAGGTAATGCACGATGGGATATATCCTCTAAACTAGGAGACTTATTAAAAGTGTTTATATTTATGATACAACCTCCACTAGATTGAAGTTCCACGGATACAGCTTGCATCCTCTGTTCAATATCATGAAGACAATCAGCCAAATCCAACTGGTTATCTCGTAGCTCACATAGCTAAAAAAAATACTCTATAATAATAAATAAGACAAAGAATTGTTGATTATATTGTCTTTGATTTACGCAAGTTACTAACTAAGCCTTATTAGTAATACTAAAGTTAGAGCAGGTTTAAAAATTAAGCTTTTCCTCATCTATGAAGTAAAATAGAATAGGTATGATATAATATATAATAAATAATTCTATTCAATTAAAACTGGGGGTTGGTAACAGGGGGAACATTAGGGGTTATATGCATTTTAATGCCAAATCAATAAATTGACAAAAGTTAAGAAATGTGGGTATTTATATAAAATACTATGTATTACTATTATAGTACTATGTATTTATAAACTGGAATAGGATTCTTTTTTTAAACTTTATTAAGAAATATTCAATAACGAAATGGCAATAAATACTGTAACACGTTCAATTTAGAGCTCACCTTTTCAGCATGTTTGATGGCAGTCCCGTGGTATAAGGCAAGTAGTCCGTCAAGAAGACGGAGATAAGCAGATCTTACTTCAATGGAACCCGCACCAGGCATCATGGATCTTGCACCTTTGAGAGCGAGGGCTGTTTCACCAGTTGTTCTATAAAAATATAACTGTTAAAATAAATATAATAAAACAATGGCACTTCTTCCGTTGACCTCAAGTTTCTGTGTCTGTTTCTTAATAAAACAATGGGCAAGTAGGGCTCAGCCTTCAGCGCCTGGCATACCTCAATTTTTAGGGCCTAAGTCGGTTTCCTCACGATGTTTTGAACTTTTCCTTGGGTAAAAAAATAATGAATAATTCAAACGCACGGCCTTCAGGGTTGACAGTAAAACGGTCAAGTCAATAATACACTGCTTTCATGTTACAATATATAATACAAACATGGAAAAATATGATTTATTAGATTCTTAGATAGAAGAATTTACTACTAAGAAAAATACGAAAAATTTAATTTTCAAGGCGCGTTTCATTTGTTTCGTATTGGTTTACACAATCTCTAGTCTATAATCGAATCATAGACACGTGATTCCTCGATCCATTTGAACAATCACAATCAAAAGACACGTATATTTGTTTTTCTTAAATTTTCACTCTACTTTTTAAGACTTCAACAAAGAAATCTATAAATAAATACAAAAACTCTTTAGAAAATTTTAGAGAAATCTAGCAAGAAATACCTACAAACTATTTTCTAAAAATTAAAGAATACTTTCAATTCTAGTTAATTTTCTTTTTTGTCTGTACTGACCTATTGGGTATTGGAGGTAAAGCCCCGTTCATAAATCGAGCCATTGAAGATATCACTTGGGGAAGGGTGGCCAAACCTGGTGACCCAGCAGCCATTTCACTGACTCCTAAAATAGTAGAGAAACTGAATATTTTTGGGTAAGACATAAAAAGTTTCAATCAGTAGAATGTACTAATTTTATTTACCTCCTCCATAGCTTACTTGGCTATACCGAAAATGCGAGTTCGATTCCTAGCTAAATATAATAAAGAGAAGATGTGGCAGCTTGCCTTAGGCCGCTAACTTACCAGGATGCCATAGCAACGTCGCTAGCAACGTATCCAAACAATTGAAATGTCATCGCCAATTTGGAAGCGCAGCCAGGACCCAACGGCTCCCTTTGTGGAGTCCGGTACGTGGCACGACGGCGACGTCGCCAAGCAAACGTAAACGAGCAAGTCAGCAAGCTACGTCTTACTCACTTGGTGTCTAACCGGCTGCCACGACATACATGCGCGTGCGTTTTTTAAGGAAAAGAAATTAGTCAAAAAACAAAAACTTTAAAGGATATTTCCTCAAATCTTCATACAGTGTGCAAAGAACTCCACCTCGATTTCGATCTGATGAAAGGATGCACCCATAATCTAGTAATAGTTACTTGTTTTCGTTTTTGCGACACACATAATAAATAAATGAAATTTCTTCTAGCCTAGAGCGTCCATTCTCGATACGAAACCTAAGAGAACTGACTGACAGATATATAGCAGATAGTAGCTGCTGGCAACTTCATTTGGCTAGCCATGGGAAGCCATGCCTATGTAGCTGGCGAAGTCGCAATGGGGTCCCGGTGAGTTAGCGGGCTTATTATCGATTCACATGTAATAAAAATTAAGTAACTTAATACCTGTATCAATTCCACCAGCGCGGTTATAATTTGGTTCAAAACTTTGTACAAATGGATTATCCTCACCCAACATATTTATCAGATCTTGGCTGAAACAAATGTATTTTTTTTTCCAATTTCTTATAGAATAATACAATCTATATCAAGGTAAAATTGAAAACCACTGTGGTTTGTATAATTGTAACAATAGCAGTCTTGTCGACGCGCGACAAATGCATGTAATAATAATTCTTCTACTTGTTTTTATGTTGCCGTTAAGCTATCAAATAGCTGACTTGGTCCATTTATTAGCCATGGTAGCAAATACCTCACCGGCCCCTCACCATAGACGCTGTTTGCTCCCGAAGTTCAGAGCAAAACATGCGTTACAGCTAGGATCTTGTTTTATAATTATGACAGCAACATTTTTTTAATTTTATGGCCTGGTAATGAGACCTTTAAACCAAGACAGCTACATTATTATTTAAATAATTCAGAATTAATCAGAATAATTCGATTTAAATCAAAGACAATAAAGCTATATTATTTTCATGGCAACCATAGATTGATTTACCTTACAATCGACTTAATTCAGAGTTTCTTATTTAGAAAACGGACAATGAAAGTCAAAGACATTCTAGATATTAGAGAACACTTATATATGATACTAGTGGACCCCACAGACGTTGTCCTGCATGATATTTAAAGCGATTAGGATATTAAGCAAAGTATGAAAGTACCGACTGCTGTGCCATCTGCCGGGCTGATTTGTGAATCTAAACCATTCCCAGATCCCCTTGAACACACACAAAAAATTTCATCAAAATCGGTCCAGTCGTTTGAGAGAAGTTCAGTGACATACACACTCACAGAATAATTATATATATAAAGATAAGAAAAATCTTTCTTAAACAAAAAGGGCTGATTCATATATCTTTGCTACCTGGAAAAATAGTGTATTATTTGATCGAAAGACGGATCTCCGGACTATAAAAGTTACTCAGTTATACCGTAAAGTCCTGACTAGAAATGGTAAGACACCCCCTAATCGGTCCACATTGTAGAAGTCGAGTTCGCCATCGATAAAGGTACGTGGAGGGATATGGGGTGGAGCATTTCTGAAAAGATTTTTAAATTTAAATTCCATCCTCAGTTTACCAATACTTTTTATTAGACATTTCAATATTTTCTATCTGTTTTTAATGGTAAACCCAAACTAAAACATCTTTTACAAAAAGCGTACTATTTCTTCAAAGGTCTGCAAGTTTCTCGCGGGCTTTCTGGCAACGTGTTAAAATATTTATTTTTTTATGTATAAATTTGAAAACTATTAAAATTATAAAATTTACTGAGCAATAAGGCTCATCTCTAATGTGGCATTAGGCAGAAATTATTTTTTCGCAATGTAAATAGTTGATTTGACAGCTTAAGTAGTAAAATTTAACATTTCTGCGTCGTTTTAAGTCGGCATTAAATTGATATCTTTGTTGTTGACGTTAGGTGGAAAACACAGATAATAATTAATATCACTAACGGATTTCCAAGTGGGTTCTCCTGCCACAACCGCATGACAGCTGTCAGTAGTCGCGCATGACAGCACCACGAAATGGCGGGAGAATTTCGGGAGACATTAAACAATCGCTGCAAGAAATGCTCCTAAACACATTTTATAGGCTGTTCTATTTTTAAACATGCGTAATGCATAATTAAATATACTTGTGTTTGCTTCATTGATTTTTATATTTTTGTTGACAAGTACGTGATGCGAGACAAACGTCAAAATTACGTAATTGATCTATCATGATTGTACCTATCATATCGCTAGTAAAAATTTTTAGCCACTTTATAATATGGGGGCACGACAGTGCGCTCGCCAAGTCGAGAAAAATACGTCTCGGCCGTACCATCCTTTTCTCGAAACAGTTCAGGTCACTATCGACTATAGGGGATAACTAAAATTAGGTTGGTGGAGTCAATGTAGGTATTTGTTTAAAACATGAAAAATTAATAACATTGATATGGTCACTATAAGATGTTGTCAGGTTAGCTAAATTACGTAAAAACTTAAGACAGACTTGGATTTTTAAAGAAACGGTAAAAGAACTGCGTTGCGAGAGGTATTTTACAACTTATGATTTTAATGGCATACTTTAATTTTGAATATATATGTAACATTCAGATCGATCCGGAAAATCGTAAGTAAAAAGATATAAATTACGCGTTACCATATCTAAAATGCAGTTGTCCATTATATATCTTCGGAATTTTTCCAAAAAGATCTTCCTCGTTGACGGGACCATGGTTGTGCCGTCAGAGTTATCCAACAACATAAGAAGAAACTCCAACTGGGAATAACAAATTATTTATAAACGTTTGACAAAGCTTCATAGATAATTGCTTTGTCATTAGTTTTCCTGATTTTCTTTCTTTTAATATTACTGCCTGCGACTTTCATCCCTGACGTCGTTGGTTCAATCCTCCCGGCTGAGCACCAATGGACTTTCTTTCTATGTGCGCATTTAACATTCGTTCGAACGGTGAATGAGAACATGGTGGGGAAACCACCATGCCTTAGGTTCAAAAAGTCGATGGCGTGTGACAGCCACAGGATGCTGATCAGATTGCAAATTATCATGAAACAGATACAGAAATCTAGGGCCCAGACATTAAAAGGTTGTAGCGCCACTGTTTTTATAAGCCTTTGAAATTTAAATATTTTTAAGCCTTATTGAACTTTAAATATTTCTTGACTACATGGGAGAAATACCCAGAGGTAATAAGAAATACCCAGTGGGAAAAAACTTTCATTTGTTTTCTCTAATAGACAAGTAGGTGATCAGACTTCTGTGCTGGACTTTTGGGTCTAAGCTGATTTCCTCCCTCTGTTTTTCTTTACCGTACGATAGTCCGTAGTTGGACAACCGGGAATCGACCTATGATATGAGATTAGCATGATTAGCACTTTCCCCACCTGCACCGCAACGGATATAGAGTAATAAATAATCTCCATAAGTGGCATTATTGGCTCAACTATTAATGATATCCTATCGTGTAGGTCCAGCAAGGGGTCTATTGATCTGCCACTAGGCCAACAGAGGTTATTATAACATAATTTAAATAATATTGTTATTAGCTTCTTAAATACCTAGCCCTATACAACCCCTTGTGTTAATTACCTGAACTCGTTCCAATGGGGCAATGGCCTTAGTAATTTTATCACAATCTTCACGATATTCAGCTTCAAGTTGTGCATCATCCTTTGTGGACGCTCGTAATTTAGACATTTTTTCTGAAAAAAATAATATTTTATCTTGTTCTGTGGAGGAAAGATGGTGTACTTTTTCCTAACATTCCAGCCCACAGACTCGGTTGAGAAGTTGTATATATCCTTAGCGGTCGGAATAACTTTGTAAGCGCGTTTCAGGGAATGTCTTCATTGCAATTATTGTAAGCTCGGATTGTAGGTGTCGCTACAAATCCTCAATCTTAAGGACAATTTCTTTTAATCTAACAATAAGCCCAATTTGACAGAAAGAGACGAAAAAGTCCTTTAATTAGAAGAGTACAATAAGACTGATTTAGCTTTTATAAATAAGGAGTAAATCTTAAGTCTCTATAATTTACATTCATCAAAATCTGAGATAAAAATATTATCTTGGTTTAACGCGTACTAATTAATCAAACACATTTAATTATAAACAATATGACGTTTTCGTTACCGTTACAAGTATTTATTAAAGTAATTACCAGTATCATTATGAGAAAAAGTACTCCGGCCTATTACACCTTTCTCCGTCATCTCTGTAAATAATATAATTCAAAAGATTATAAATCTCTATTACTATCATACTATAGAAACATTTATACAAAATATGTCTCAGATACAAAAAAGGTAATTATTTTTTAAGTACTATCTAGTATACTATTATAAGTAGTATCGTAGTATATTGCAACACGCATCGTAATATATAGTAACATTACCCATTCGTAAACATAAGTAAAAAAAAGAGACCCAGTTATATACCTTGTAATAGTTAGAAGATTTTTCATACAAACATGTTACGCGTGCGAATAATTTGTAAAACTCACGCAATGCAACCAAATTAAAAAAGAGTATACGTACGTTGTTTTAATTAATAAAATAACTTAGTATCAAAACGTTACAATTGGAGATGGAATTTTTAAACTTTGAAATTCAGAAGTAGGTTTTAAGAAATATATTATTACAATACTTAGATTTAATTCCAATGAAGGAATAATAATACCAAATGAAAATATATTCTATATCGAGTATGCAAAAAATTGAAGATATTCTGTAACCTCTGATAGTGATGGTGATTGAGATTCCAACGTCAATGTCGTGTACCACGAAAACGTTGCGCGATGTGCAATTTCGATGTAGTACCGACAACAACGCTACTCGTACATCGAAATTACATACAAAAACATCGTTATTATTGGATGTTACAGGGTATCCGTGAAGGATGTTGAACTCACCAGCAATTCTAGGATCGGTCTCTCCTTGAACAGGAGTGGGTCTTTGCCACCAAGACTTGCGAATCACCGTCTTCAGAACATTATCGTCTGGGCACTTAATATTCATGAAGTTGTCAAATCTACAATCAATGCTTCTTAGGTATTAAGAGACAATACACTTAAATATAATTAAATAGAAAATACTATAATGGATTTATGACCCCTTTCACCTCTGTTAAAGTTTCGCAGAGCTATCTTTTCCAAAACTTTGGAATAAGTTATCAGATACATTTTCTCGCTTTTTCAATCATTATAGTTATTGCTTATAAAGTATGCTTGTGTAAAATTTTGCCGTTACAGTTAGTAGCCCGTTGGCCTACTTTTTTATCATAAATATATTTATAAAGGAATAACTCGAAACTACTTAAAAACCACTTCAACTACTACTAACACCTGTACAAATGCGATGACATGATGTCAATATTTTAATAGCTTATTGCATATTTAAATGTAGAACAGTGCTAATTTCAGATCACACACAAAATCACACAGAAAAATGGCACATAGACATGATAATAGACCCACACTCATATAAAATTTTAATTTACACCGTTTTAAGTATAATACGTTTTAAATATAATATGTACTTTACTTACTTAAGTCATTTTATTCACTTTACTTACTTTACTTATTTTATTTACTTTTTACTTACTTCGGTTAACTTACTTACTCTAATTGTATACTTTTAGTGTACAATTAGAGTTTTTATGAATATATATGAGAACTTTTTGTTACTAACGTAATTTTGTTGAAGAACACATATTTAACTAAATGGTGTCTGGTTTCCCGGTGCTGCATTAGACCACACAGTACATAGATACCTTCGATCTGCTGCGTGAAATTCATATCCTGGAAATTTAAACACCAACATAAATATTATAATAAGTGTGATATTAAATTTGACTTGTTGTATACATACATGTACGTAGTTGTCATTGTAGAATTAGAAAAAAAGAAATATAGCAGTCAGACTGCGATAACGAGGGAGCTGCCACAGATAACATAATTATAATATGGAATATGTCAGAGATAGAATCTCCTTTGTTACATTGACTTGTTGGATTTGGCCTATTTGTAATCGCTAAATACATTTTATATACACTTCCTATATACGCTTAAGACATTTATTTCTGTTCTTGTGCCAAAATTTGTATGGTTATCCATATTATAACAAAAGCACGTCTATATACAAATTGCAACTTAAAGATTATTAAAGATAAAGTTTTATAGTGGTATGTATTATATTTTTAAATTTCGATATAAAACTTTTTTTTAAAGATAAAATGTAATTTAATTTATAATGTTCTTAAGTGTACGATTGAAAATATACTTACCGGCGACACCATGTCGAACATAAGGCACTCCCGCACAACGCAATGTTCCAGGATGTCACACAAAGCGGCTTCGTCGAGAAATGTCCACAACAATTCCAATAACATGCAAAGCCGTGGCTGAGGCTGATCTAGGAACTTTTCAGATAATCCACTCTGTAATTCGTTTATTAAAGCATTAGACACATTTTGTTCTGATAATGTATTTAAAGTTACGATATTCCATATTTCAAATTAATTCTAAATAGGCATTCACGGTAAGTTAGCCAGAGTCATTTTGTACGCTGATTTTTAGAATCTACAATATTTTTGTTATCACGCAACCTTTGTCAGTTACTCTCCGAACCTAAGATATTTAAAGCTATTTTAACATATCGATTCGATATGAATGTGATATGTTTAGTCTGGCCATAAATACTGTTACACTTTAAAAAATATTACATTTGAATTTGGAATCTGTCAATCTTTTTAACATAAAAAGAAAAAAAAATACGGGGTCAGTCGCTTGTAAATTGAATAAGGATTTTGCTATTTAGATCCCGAAGGACCAAATTCTCAATCCCGAGAGATATTTTCCCTTCCACAAAGTTCCTAGGGAAAACGTTTTAGCCTCATTTGAAGGCGATTAGTAATAATAAATAAATCTCCTAAAACAGGCAATTTTTTTTATTTGGCGCCAATCTACATAATTTTTTTGTTAATGTGTTATATTGAACCGCCTTCCTGTGATATCGTTATTATTAATAAATACAAGTATCTAATACTCCACGCGTATAACAAAATATATTTTACTTCTAACAAATATAAAACACGTTTTAATAAAATTACTTACAAAACCACGCTCTCTCATTTTAGAAAAGAAATCAACAGCATGCTGTTCTGGTGTGAATCCTTTAACATTTAACCCCAGAACCACTCTGAACCTGGGCAGCAATTCAGATACAACCACGTAGGACTGCTTCAGAACAGAGCCAAGTTCTATCACAACCAGGCGAGCCAGGGACATAAGGAAGGCCTGGCAAGCGATTTCACAATATATATTCTATTTTACTTGCATAATATTTACGACTTAGGGTCCCTCAAGAAAAGAGCGTACCAATGCTTGAAAGGCCGGCAACGTACTCGCGAGCCGTCTGACATTGACTGTCCATAGGCGGCGGTATCCCTTAACATGAGATGAGCCTCCTGCCCGTTTGCCCCCAGTTATATGAATAAAATACTGCGCTATCTCAGATTAAATTATATCTTTTAATTAAAGCAAAGCTCAATTTTTTGGCTTTTACGGAAAAAATCACACAAATTTAATAAAACAATATGTCTTTGTAACAAAACGAAACGAGCCACAGACTTGATAAAATAAATCATGGCGCTACAACCTCTTTAGGTCTTGGCCTCAGATTTCTGAATCTGTTTCATGATAATTTTTAAATCTAATAAGCAAGTAGGTGATCAGCCTCCAGTGCCTGATACACGCCGTCGACTTTTTGAGTCTAAGACATGTCCTTCCTCACGATGTTTTCCTTCACCGTTCTAGCAAATGTTAAATGCGCACATTGAAAGAAAGTGCATTGTTGTACAGCCAGGTATCGAACCTACGACCTCAGGTATGAAAGTCGCACGCTGAAGCCACTAGGCCAACACTGCTCTAGTCACAGACTTGATAAGTTCATTTAAAGCTTTAAGCGTTTCGACGTTTAATTTGTCTAACACTTACTTTCTTCGACATTTTCTTCATATCAGTCCCCTGAACATCCATATTGTGAGGTGAGGACCGGGGTGAGTACACAGAGTTGGAGCTGTGGATACGGAGAGCTACTTCCTCTTCCACCTTCGACGAATTTGATTTAGTCTGTTGTATAACAAATTAACCTTCATGAGATAATGTTAATTTCAAATTCAGAACTACTTTTAAAATGTGTTTCAATTACACCATACATACCGAGTCAATGTTTTACCAAATCACATTTTTTAATAAATTTAGCTTGACGGTCATCAAACATCAGAAATAAAAAATATTAAAAATCAAATATTAAGTACATAATATGTGGTTTCATGGTACATGGTTTCGTGATAAACGTCAAAGTCAAATCATTTATTTCAATAACCTTTTTAAAGACTAGTTGCCCCTTCCAAAAAGGGCAAGAAACTTTATACTTACTCTTAAAATAGTATTTGCAATATTTTGTATACATTGATTTGATTATATTGTAAGCCCATGTACCTACCAAAAAAACTACTAGACTAAAGTAAAATAGGCGCATGGTGTTATAAAAAAACAATGCAGCAGATAACTATATTATTATGTAGATACATGGTGCTCACATATTATGTCGATGACAATAGATCAAATTTTCAATACATCAACAACTTGTCTGTAGTTACCAAAACTAGAGGACAAGATAAGAAGTGCAGAAATAACAAAAACAAGTGCGTGCGTACAAAGAACACATGTCAGAAGTTAAACTTCTTTGGCAAACTAATTTTTAAATCTTGTTCATATTTATATTTACTTGTTATTATACAAATCTAAAACTTTAGATTTCCGACACTTAAAGGGAAGGAAAAATTAAGATATGTTAGGAAATTAATAGAAATTATTAACTAATTTTTTTTATTTATATCTTCGATAGTAAAAACATGTGGCATTTTAATTTACAATTCGTCATTTGAGATTGCAATAAATTATTTTGCATAAAATATAAAATACTAATATTTCATAAATTCTCTTTACGAAATTTTAATTTTAAAAATAGAATTTCTATAAGGTAATTCGCCCTTCTCACTCTCTCTCAATTGCTCTCTCCCTTTTCTTCGACAAAAACGCTGCACATCTTCGTGACGCTAATATTATTATGAAAGCGTTTCATCCGTACAACTTTTACCTTCATGAGCCTAAAGAACTTTCACTACCAAAATTAAGAGCCATTCAGAAAATAATGCAAAATCCTACCTTGCTAGTCTTTGCGCTAGCGTTTGGTTTTAGATCAGACAAGTGTGTTAGTTCATTTAATAAAGCGTCAACGGATCGAAACAAGATGGCGGCTTTTGCGCAATCGCGTTCTGGTGCCGCTTGGAGCGGAGCAAACCCTTCTATTGGAAATCTGAAAATTTAAATTTCATAGTTTTTTAAAATTAGCACTTTGTATAAATAACTACAATGTTGTATAATATAATAGTGTCCTTATCACTATTGTGTCACTCGTCTTTAATTACAATTACGCATTGAAAAAATACAGTCAATATCTGTTATAACGACATTGAAGGGACTACTCATATTTGGTTGTAAAAACCGATAGTCGTAACAGCCGATGACGTTGTTATTAAGCACTTATACAATAGAATTCAGCCGGGCTTTGATTTTGGTCAATGTAACCGGTATGTTGTTCTAATGGATGTCGTCGAAAATGGTTTTGACTGTATGTCTATTTATAGCCCGTAATTTTAATCACATATACATTATACAGTATATGTGATTAAAATTACGGGTTGTAAATATATCTATATTTTTCTTAAGCTAAAGAATCCAGGCGTATCCTAATCGTCTTTACAAAGAATAATCAATAAAAATAACTATCAATAAGTCTACGAATATCGCATAGGAAAAAACAAATGAAATCTATAATGTGTATACTGTAATGATTACATTATGTAATGTTTACGTTACAAATAGCTATCATTATAAAAAAAACCTTACACAAACGGTACATGTCCAAAATTCGCATATAAATGTTCCTGCATGGCCAGGGACACAGCAGGGAAATAGGCCAAACCCGTTCCATGTGTCACCTTATCGAACGCCATTCCCAGAGAAACGCCATTTCTAAAACGTTTTTATACATTAACTAGCTGACCCGGCAAACGTCGTTTTGCCATGTAGGGGAAGGTCGGGACCCTTCGTACGGTTTTCACATTTTATTTTTTTATTATTTTATTTTTCCATGAATCAATCATCTGCAAGCTTAAATTTATAGTCTAACTATCTGAGATTCATATAAGAAAATGACAAATGATTTCATCTGATGGTTCAACCATAATTATGATTTAAACTAAATCTGGAAAACGTACGAATCTACCCCATCAACGGGGCACCTTCGTACAGTGTTGAGGGTACCTTCGTACGCTGTGGGGTAGTTCCGTACGTGCGATTAAAACGACACATATAAATCAAAATTCATTTATTAGCAATGAAATTAAACACAAAAATAAAGATTTAACTTCTAATAAACAAAAATAAAATACTTTAATTATAGTGAACAAAAATTACATAGCTTTTCTTAAGAAAACCAAAATTTAATTAGTTAGGTATCTTAAATTTAGAATCACATTCTTTAATCTTTGGTGCGGATTAGCACTTCTTATTTTCGGGTGTGGCAGTATAAATTCGTGGTTTTCCTGGCCGTCGTCATTTTGTTTGTTTTATTACTTCTTACAACATGCGTATAGAGTCGAAACCCTTAAGGTGTCAAAACTGACTTCGAAGGAACTACTATTTGATGGATTGGTAAATTATTCAAAGCATCTGGTTCACATGCATCAAAATCAACCTTAATAAAGATAATAAAAATAGGTAATAAAAATACATCGACGATAGCAATGATAGCAACACAGGACAAAGTTAATGGAAATATTAGAGCAATTAGCACACTAACACAATCTTTCCTACCTACCAGAGGGGTTTAGTCAAGATGCCTTATTATTATTTGTATGTAGCAAGTCGAAAACTTAATTTGTATGAAAATTACAGTTCGTGTCGACAAAATATTTTCATACAAATTTAGTTGTACAATTCGTTCAAATGTGCCCCATCTAGTGCTGTCCGAAAGTACCCCACTAACTGAATAACAACAAAATATAACTTATTTTAATATTAATAGGAAAACGTCATAAATTAAGTATTGGAGACGTATCTAAGTATATTTTGCTAGTTACTGATAGAATACTCTACACGAAAACTTATTTTATCTACGGTAACAAGAGACAAAAACATTGATCAAAAAATTACTTACCGAGCGCGAAAACACGTCCATGCCTGTAACTTCATTCTCATCGGTGCGAATTTCGCGAAACTTCGATTATGTATAGTTCGTACCTCGACTCATGCACACATACAAAAACAAGACTGTACTTTGTTTCGTTCAAGTTTTATTTCGACTGTATGAATGTGCCCCGCGTACGAAGGGTAACAATCTTCCCCTATATTATTTCTAGGTAACATTTTTTTAGTTCAATAAAAATAACTATCTACAATAATAAAAAATAGGGGTTGATCGTAGAGGGGTGACAATTAAAGGTTGTATGTATTTTTGTATCATAAAAAAATAAAAACAAAAGTTTTGAATAAAAAATAAAATTTAGGGGTGACACCACCCTTAACATTTAGGGGGGATGTTGTCCGATTCTCAGACTTACTGAATATGCATATAAAATTTGACAAAAATCGGTCAAGCCGTTTCGGAGGAGTATGGGAACGAAAATTGCGACACGAGAATTTTATATATAAGATTTAAATAAAAAAAATACTAAAATTTAGATAATTTACGGATTTAAAAAATATATAAGACATAACGTGATCTAGCCTAACTTAAGACTATTAAATATCTCTCTAGCTTATAATTTTTAAAAAATCAAACACCACCACACGCAATACTCTTCGAGCGAGTTTGCTTATCTTGCCGAAGCCGTGTACAAATTATTTGAAGAAGTCTATTAAGTATGAGGGTGTGCAATTATTTAATCAATTACCGTCTAAAATTCGTAAAGCGCGTTTAACCAATTCAAAAGAGCATTAAATATACACATCAGAATGAGCCTATTGGACTAAAATTAGGACGGCTAATGGCGATGTGTATCTCATTCGTATATATTAAGTTTCTCATGTAAATAAAAATACATTTTTTGTAATGAGAAATAAAGTTGTTTAAACATTTAAGTAATTTAAAACTAACATAATTTACTAAAAACTATATTTAACATAAGTAAGTGTCCAATAACACTATTTACAGTCTCTATTAAGGGGAAGACACTCTGTTCTTGAGTACTTTTTCCACTTACCACTGTGTAGCACTTAAGACTTTTTCAGCCTTCTCACTAGGCTCGCGGTGACGGAAATAAAGACTAAAATGCAACCAAACAAAAGCCAATTTTGTTTTCAACATTTATATTATATAAATACTGATACCTGTAATACTCCAGGGTTCCCTTATCCAGGTCAATACAGGAGGCGATGACGTCACCGGGTAGCCATGCATAACCATACGGTGTGGTAGCCACATTCCACTTGCGCACTCGGCCTCCATCGTAACCGTATGAATTCGCGGTGTCACCCACGCCTGTGTCCATTGAGAATGAACATGCTGCCGTGCACCAACCGACCTAGGAAAGATGTTTTGATGACATTCTTGAAAAAATCACGCTTAAAGAGGAAGCGGGCGACATCTCTAGGGAAATATATCGCAATAAAAATAGCGCTAAAATAATGAACAATCAGTCGTTAGATAATTTCCTGTCTGAGAGGTTTGACCACTTTAGATAATGATTATAATAAATGAATACCGTTATATACGTAGATAGCTCTTGTCCAACTGCTTGTATGGTGTATAATTTAACCCTTTCCAAAGATTGTTTCTTCAAGTGCAAATCACAATTCTAATATATTTCTTACCTGCATAATTCCTTTAGTTCCGAGTTGAACCTCATACATCCACTTCCCAGCGTAGACGCAGGCCGTTGCCTTAATAGTGGCAAAACTAGACAGCCCTTGTACGCTCACTCTCTCATCACCTACCAACACCAGCCGACCTGTTCCTGAAATATTAAAATGTAATCATTCATGATTATTATAACCGATTTTTTAAGACTTGAGTGTTGCATGCCTATCATATAAATATTACATACAAATATATATCAATATTATAGATAATTAAATATTACGTGTTGCAGTGAGCAGTGTTGGCCTAGTGGCTCCAGCATGCGACTCTCATACCTGAGGTCGTAGATTCGATCCCCGGCTATGCACCAATGGACTTTCTTTCTATGAACGCATTTAACATTCGCTGGAACGGTGAAGGGAACCATCGTAAGGAAACCGGCTTGCCTTAGACCCAAAAAGTCGACGGCGTGTGTTAAGCACAGGATCACCTACTTGCCTATTATATTGACATGATCATGAAACAGACACAGAAATCTGAGACCCAGACCTAAAAAGGCCACTGATTTATTTTTATTAAATATTTCGTTGATATATTTCTGTTATATCGTTTGTGATGTTTATAAACGAAATAGGACGGGTAGACATTTCCGTGTGTTTCATTATTCGTTATAATTATAATATTTCTTCCGAGTATTTCGAAATTATATTGAGAATCCATTCTTGAACCGCTGAGCAGCACATTGACCTTACCAAGCGATGCCAGACGAAACTACGGAGGCGGTGGGTATTTTGGAATCATATTTTAGAAATGAATTCTATTGAATTTTATATAACTCAAAGAAATGTTTATAAATACCTGTAGATGCGTCAAAAACAACAATTTTAGGACCGATTCTACCCGGTCTATCGTCCGTAGACTCTGTACCCTGAAAAATATAATATTTCATAACTGTAATAATTTCATTTATGATTAAGTAGGTAATTTTAATGAACCCAATTTTTCCTCTCTATTATCGAGAAATTTTGGGTCGCAAAGCCAGAAGTGAGTGTGCATTATTTTTAATCTATTTAAGTGTTTCTGTGGTGGATGATCTTTGTTGTGAAAGAATGCTCCATTTTGTATATTATCTAATATATAAAATTCTCGTGTCACAATGTTCGTTCCCATACACCTCCGAAACGGCTCGACCGATTCTTATCAAATTTTTTATGCATATTCAGTAAGTCTGAGAATCGGACAAAATGTATTTTTCATCCCCCTAAATGTTAAGGGTGGTCCCACCCCTAAATTTTATTTTTTATTCACAACTTTTGTTTTTATTTTTGTATGATACAACATACAAAAATACATACAACCTTTAATTGTCACCCCTCTTCGATCAACCCCAATTTTTTATTATAGTAGATAGTTATTTTTATTGAACTAAAAAATATTTCCTAGAAATTATATACATGGCAAAACAACGTTAGCCGGGTCAGCTAGTATTTTAAATAAATTTCAAATGGTTAATAAAAGAAAAATACTCGCGCAACTTCCTAATCTAGAATAATACCTCTGTAACAGCTTGTGTATTCTTTTTCGTTTTAAGTTTAGTGTTAAGTATTTTTGCGTCCAACATCTTTGGAAGGTTATCTCTGACATGGCTCACGTATTTCGTCCTTCTGCAACAAAATTAGAAACACCCACATTGAAAACCTAGAACGTTTAAATTAAATTTTTCTCAATGTATACCCGTGGCCTGTAAATCAATTCATTTCAAAGACGTTAGTTATAGTTACTACGAGTTTAAATTAAATGTCTTGTAACAGTTATATAATGTTTTTCTTTCACTGGAATATTGCTTTATTAGATCTTTAAAAAATTACGTTAAAATGTCGGATTTGGTTATTATTAATTAATTAAAAACAATTAATTCAGCACATAATCTATATATATATATAAATTACGTGTCACGTTGTTTGTCCGCTGTACCTAAACTACCGAACCGATTTCAATCAAATTTGCACACCGTGTGTAGTTTGATCCAACTTAAAAGATACAACTTACATCTCAATTTATACCCGAAATACAAAGTACCAACGTTTCACATGGCATGGTGGTCCCCATGACTGGTGTTCTCCTACCGTTTCCCTTGAATAGTTTACTACTATGTAATATAACAAAAACCTTAGCCACAACAACGCTTGGCCGAGTCTGCTAGTAGCAATATATGGTAGAGATGCTTATAGATAATATGTGAGAAGGACGGTGTACTGTTTTCCTAACCTAAACCTACAGGTCTAACCACTGACTGGCCGTCAAAGGCCCCAGTGGCTAAGATCGCGAAGTTTTAAGCCGGGTCCACATTTGTAGCATGTTGACGTATCACGATCAGTCGTATCGTGTCTAGTATTTGTATCATAAATATGGACGCTCATTTTGTCCATGTCGTATTTTTAAGGCGTATCTTGTAAAAAACGCGTCCATACTTATCAAATGCTGTATCATGTCAGTGTATCGGCTTTAACTTTACAAATATAGACGCTTCACTTTTCTTCCGATGTATCTTTTCCTGATGCGCGTGTCTTTCAGTGTACCTTTCCCTTCTCGTACGGTTCAGTCATATTGTCTTCGTTCCCAAACGGTTTAGCCATGTCAGCAATTGCTCACACTTTGGCGGTGACTAGCGCCTGTTATATTATTATCATTAATAGTATTTAAAAAAAAGTTAAATCCAGACATAGACGGCGCTGATGGGACCTTGAAGTGTTTAGAAACCGAAACAAACATGGTAGAATACCATTTCGAGAGCGAGATTTTTTAGCTCATTTTGCGAGTTTTAAAATTTCAGCATACCAGTGGAAAATACAAAAATTTCACTCGCATGTCACCCATTGATGTTGTGTATTCCCTTTGATGATCGCGAAAAAACCGACACAGGATGGTTCGCGGTGTATCAAGTATCGTATCGCGATACAGTATCGTGATACAGTATCAAAATACGTCCATACCACCGATCGTGATACGCGTATCTGATACGAGGTGTATAAAGATACGCGCTTAGTGCGGATCGGGCCGTATCAGATACGGCATGTATCATTAACGGGTATCATTTTGGGTCCAAACTAACGATCATGATACGCGCCGAAGCCACGCAACGGAGATACGATACACCGAAATGCTACAAATGTGGACCCAGCTTTATATATCCTTAAGCCGGGTCCACATTTGTAGCATATTGACGTATCACGATCAGTCGTATCGTATCTAGTATCTGTATCATAAATATGGACGCTCATTTTGTCCATGTCGTATATTTAAGGCGTATCTTGTAAAAAACGCGTCCATACTTATCAAATGCTGTATCATGTCAGTGTATCGGCTTTAACTTTACAAATATAGACGCTTCACTTTTCTTCCGATGTATCATGATGCGCGTGTCTTTCAGTGCACCTTTCCCTTCTCGCAATGTTCAGTCATGTCTTCGTTCCCAAACGGTTTAACCATGTCAGCAATTGCTCACAGTTTGGCGGTGACTAGCGCCTGTTATATTATCATTAATAGTATTTAAAAAAAAGTTAAATCTAGACGTAGACGGCGCTGGAAGTGTTTAGAAACCGAAACAAACATGGTGGAATACCATTTATGCGAGATTTAAAATTTCAGTATACCAGCGGAAAATACAAAAATTTCACTCGCATGTCACCCATTGATGTTGTGTATTCCCTTTGATGATCGCGAAAAAACCGACACAGGATGGTTCGCGGTGTATCAAGTATCGTATCGCGATACAGTATCGTGATACAGTATCAAAATACGTCCATACCACCGATCGTGATACGCGTATCGGATACGAGGTGTATCAAGATACGCGCTTAGTGCGGATCGGGCCGTATCCGATACGGCATGTATCATAAACGGGTATCATTTTGCGTCCAAACTAACGATCATGATACGCGCCGAAGCCACGCAACGGAGATACGATACACCGAAATGCTACAAATGTGGACCCGGCTTTAGCGCCCGCAATGCCTTCGTTAGCTTGTTTCAGAGTATGAAGTCATCGCAGTGATTTGTAAGCGCAGATACTAGGTGTCGCTACACATACAGCAACCATGTGCATAGTGCTATATTATTTCCGTAGCATAAAAACAAGTGATTTACAACATGACCTTAAACTAACACATTTTTATCTCGAATATATAGACGAAGGTAATAGATTTAGGTATTTTTGAACCTTAGCAAATTTGTTACACAAATTTTGGTCCCAGTATCGTCATTAATTCAGTAGCGCTATTATTTTAGACATTAAGAAAGAATTTTTTTCAGGGCAATGTATGTAATTACTAAGATGATTCTTACTGATTATGTCTGTCAGTATTATCCTTCATGACCAGGTCACTACCAAATATCTTCTTTATCATATCATGGACCTCTCCCTTTTCAGCTGAGCTGCTGCAGACCCCAAACATGGACCGGAGGACGTTCATCATCACTGATTTGTAAACATTAGTACAAAATAACTAAATACAGTGGACCTGTCTGATTACAAATGTGAAATTGTCTAATTATATTTGACATCATAAAACCTTTTTAACAATTGTTTAATGAGTAAAATCTCTTAAGCAATAGAGCTTTTTGTTTATTATCTGTGCAAACTCTCAATAATCGTAAAACCATAATTTCATATATGAACTATAACTATATCACATATGCCACATACTTAATAATGACAAATACGTTGTGAATCAACCAATATTAATACATAACTAAACAGTTGCTTTAAATAGGACGCAATGAATCCATCTTATGAAAACTAAAGAAGAGATTCAGAATCGAAACACAATCTCTGAATTTCGTATATCAAAAGTAAAAATCATTTATTCATTTAGATAACACAATGCACACTTATGAACGTCAATAAACATATTAAATGCTAAATGCTTCTAATTTTACATTTACTTTTCGTTCTATGCCCTTGATTTGAGAACTGGCAATAATCTCTACGTCACTCTTCAAAATCTAATACGTTTTAGACATACGGGACTTAGACTTTGACTAAAGTGCTCTACGGTCTTCTATCTGTCAAACTATGTTTGTCTTGTAATAGAGAGCAGATCCATGCGGCTTCCTCACAATCGAGTGGCAATATCGCAGCACACAACTCACCAAGGGAGTCTTTGTAATGAACAAGTAAGCAAAGCATCCGCGAATATACAATGTAACATAATTATGTAGGAATATAGAATATAGAAATAATAGCATATAAATAAGACAGCAATGCAGCAAACGATTCGGCGAAAGGTCTCTATGGAGTTGCGTAAATGTCTTTGTTTTATCGTTAAACGGCGAAATGTTTTATTGTAAATACGACAATCTGTTAACAGGACCATTAAACGATGATCACTAACGTCAACCGTGTACTGCATTGGATAGGGATATTAGCAAGTAATTCCGTATGAATATTACTAAGACGTCGTCACGTAATGACGTCACGTCGCAATTCAAGGTTTTTTTAAATATAATAGGAGGGAAACGAGCCCACGGATCGTCCAAATAGGGCAGTCATCACAGCCCATAGTCACCCTTTTAGTGGGTGCGTTGCCGGCCTTTGATGAAGGAGTACACTCTAACTTTAAATAGTTGGAGGTCGTATCTCTCAGGATAGACCCCCACCGGGAGGCGATTCTACAGTTCGCAAAATAAAATGCCTTGTGAAACGGAGCGTGGATCCATCAAGCCGATTTTAATGAAATTTTGAATTGATACAGCTCGTACGGTGGTGGGGCAGGAGGGATCAACCCAAGAAATTCTTCAGAACACTCACCGTAGTACACTTTATAGAAAACGCAAAGAGACGCAATGTCTCTGCGTAGAGAGAGAGAATCAAGCCAGTCAGTAATACATGGGCGGTACCTCAATTGGGGCAGAACACATTTTTGCGACTGTTTTGATATTGTATACTTAAAATAATAGTGTGTGTATAAATAAAACCAATTTCAATGTCTTAATCACTTTATTGCACCTATGGAAGTACACTTCTTGTTGCTAAGAGTCCATTAATCAGACCACCAATTTAACCCTTAATACAAAATTTATTATCCATAAAAAGGATAGTACATGAAAATTAATACTATTTTAGTTGCTAATTGAGTCATACAATTTTATTATTGGTAATTCTTAAACTATAAATTGTCAAAGAGAGCACATTTTTGATCACAAACCATGAAAATCCCTTAATATAGACCTTAGTGACCCTACATCAGAATTTTATTGAAATAGGACAAGAAAAATTATGCACGCTACAAATCGTATTCGCAGGCCATACTTTTATAGAAAGTTTTGTCATGATCATTTCTTTCCAATATAGAGTTAAGCTAAGCAACCGTTTTTTATTTATAGAACGGGGAAAACGGGCAGGAGGCTCACCCGATGTAAGGTGATACCGCCGCCCATGGACACTCTCAATCTCAAGGGCTCGCGAGTGCGTTGCCGGCCTTTTAAGAATTGAAACTTTATACCTTTGCGACTTTAGCGCTACGGATATTTAAAAAAATATGTAACTTCTAAAAGTAATTTTACGTTACGAAGTACTGGCGCAGATAATTGATTTTGACTACTTTTAAGAAATTATTTATTTGTATAATACAGAAGTCGAATATAATAAAGCACCAGCGCTATTCTTAAAAAAAGAAGATATCTTTTTATTTCTCAAATATAATTTGGTCATTATAAGGGTCACATAGGACTATACAACCTGTCATCTGTAAGGACTATAAAAAGAGCAAGGAACTAAGTACGTATTCTTAAAATTATCGTATACTTTAAAAGCCTCCAAAAGTACCAAACAAAAACTATAAAACATTTGTACATCTCCGGGGCCGAGTATCAGTACTTATGTACAAGATAATTCTGAAAGCTTATATCACCTTAACTTAAATAGGAATGAAATTGGAACGTACGTACATCACAACCGAAGCAAATCAAGTCAAAATATATGAGTATTACGTTGGAGAAAATTTAGAAAAATTAGCAATTGTTATATAATATAAAGATAAATGTATACAATTCACAAGATGTAATAATTTTCGATTAACAATAAAGGAAGACGTAATGTGAAAAGCAGAATGGCAAGAATTGAGGAATAAAAAAAATGTTATTTACATTTTAAAACTTTTAAGATTCGAATAGTTGAGATTATTAGAAGTTTAAATATATTCAAATGTTTAACTGTGATTACCGATTGATATTCTATATTTCTAGTGCCTAAGGCGATTACAATTAAAATATTAAAAGACCTACTAATAAGTAGTTAGAATACAAAGTTATGCTAATTGAGGATGGATTTAAATGCACTGGACTTATTTAAAGTGTATAAAAATGTTGCAAAATTTTAGTATAATGGATTAATTAATTAAAAAACCATTCGAGAAAATACGTCAAGTACACATATGGACCTCAAATCTGTAGATTTTTAACTAACAAGGCCTGGGAAGGTTATAAAAAAAGTCATTTTCTACAGATTTGACAATAAAGATTCATTTATTTTTTCTCGTTCTTCCAATAACGCGTAAAAGGAAATAAAATCGTTATTACAAGTTAACTACACGAATACTATTCGAACGTAGTTCGTCCGTTAATAAAACTCCCTCAGAGCGGTACATAAGCTTCCCATGTATTAATCGTTTTACATATTGTGCGTTATAAGTACGTACGTACAACGTATACGTGCGTTTGTTAAATTTATCCATTATAATAATCATAGTCTAATAGCTTATCTGATAATTAACCAGGTTTCAATCAGATAGGTAAGTCGGTAATATTGTCATAACATACGCAAATTGACTTCACATTTGGACGGCTCTGCGCGATTTGACGCTTCTTTTACATTACCTGAAAATAAATATTTCAATATTAAACTCGAAGTAATTTATCAAAGCCAAATTAATTGATTACACAGAACATTTGTTTTTTCTTGTGATAACCAAATATTAAGACTAATAATTTTGTGTAAGGGTGTACAGACGAAGGTACAAGTTTCAAAATCCGGAATAGACTTAGATGATATTATGCAAGAGAGATGTCCCGTAAAAAGTTTAAGTGAAAGCTTTAGTTACGGAATATTCCACGCACGAAATAGATAAATATTCAGTGGAAATTTCTGGATGGACACATTCATTAGTAGTGGAAAACATCTCCCAATACAGAAGATTTAAAAAGCACAAAGGCACAACCGCAGATTTCTGTATTTGTTTCGTGATATTTTTCTTAATAGGCAAATAGCAATCGACACACATCGATATTTGGGTCTGAGCAGGTTACCTCACGACGTTTTTCTTTACCGTGCGAACGAGTGTAAATAAAATAAAACTTCATTGAAGCACAGCCGTCATTATAATGGCCGACCTTTTGGCTGAAAAGCACAACACTGCTCCGAAGGTAGGATATAGGATATATCTATAGGTGACCATTCTCATTTACCTGTAGTATCTGACTGGCCTCAAAAGCTGTACCAGGCAGAAGTACAATGGGCGCAGCGATACGACCTGCTTCCACACACACCATATTCGGGAACTCATCATCACCCAGATCTGGGATTTCCTTTGCCAAGTCCGCCCATGGGTTCCAGATTACTGAAAGAAATATTGTGGTATGATTAGTGTAATTTTTTTTTGCCGACCACAGAACCTTCATAAAATGTAAACCATAAATATTTTTGAAATAGGCAAGAGAAAACAATTTTTTAGTTGGCTTGTCCAAGGGGATTTTAATTCTTGCTAACTGTTAAATATGAAGTTATACATTAGTAAGAGAAAAAAACTTACCAGTATCAGGGAAGTTATACTTCTGTATCCTCATCTTCCTTCCACTCACAACATTTGTGATGATGTGCTCTTGCATCGTGTTCTGATAGATGCGTGACGTGCATTCGTTTATCGTCACCACTTCGCGCGTGTCTTGGTACATTACGCCGTCTCGACTCTATATAAAAATAACATCGTAATCATGGTAATAGATTTATTATGAAAAAAAGTATCAAAATTAAAATCTACATTTAAATAAATACGTTAGATTGACAAACGGACCAACTCTAACAACACAAATAATAAAGTTTCCGCCTAATGGTACCTTAATGTCCCGTACGAGAACAAAATTCTGTATTGTCTTTGGTCCAAAATATGAACTGTCAAATCAAATCAAATTTATTTATATGTATTGGTAAATATGTACACTTATGAACGTCAATACAGTAACCCCTGATAATCCAGCCCCTGTCTAATCCGGCACTCCTGTAATCCAACATGGTCTATTATTTATAATTGAATATTTTTTTTGATGATTGATGATGATATAGAATCATCGGATCTGTAATTTGTCGAATGGCAAGGTACTCTTTTCTATGAAATTCAGGACTACAGGGGTCTTAAGCTCTTTAATCCGACAAATCAGATAGTCCGAATATGCCCTTCTAAATGCTTGTCGGATTACCGGGGGAATGTATTTAAAATAATTTGAAGACCTAAATTTACTACTTTATAACATCCAAGACGACGGCAAAATCGTCCAATTCATAAAGTGCAACAGGCTCAAGTGGCTGAGATATGTGCACCGAATGGCGACAGAACCCCAAGATCATTGCTGAACTTACAACCCGGTGGCAAGAGAAGACCCGGTAGACCGAGGCTGCGTTGGTGGGATGGAGTTGTCAAGGACCTCGAAACAATAGGGGTTCGAAATTGGACGCGTCAAGCACTGGATAGATTGCGATAGCGAAGTGTACTTGAGGAGGCTAATACCCACAAGGAGCTGTAACCATTGATCATAATGATGATGAAATTTACTACCAGTGGTAAATCGAGAGCCTACGGCGGGCAAAAAATGATATACATACCTTGTCTATAAACATGCAGCCATGCAAGCCGGTGATCTGACAACGGCGGACGTCCGGCACTTTAAAGTAGGTGTGGAGCAACAGTTGGCAGCTGAATGTCAGCTCCTTGCTCGGGTTGTACACCCCGATGTTGAAATGAAGCTCCTTTTCACGGAGTATCAGCCGATATGTCAGTCTGAACCTGTTAATAGAAATCTAGCAATCATTGTTCATTCAATGCATACAATATATAATATAAAAGCCGGCAACGCATCCACTAACAAAATGGGTGTCCTGGTTGCTAAGGGAAGCTGCCTTTTATGGTAAGCTCATTTATTTGTAAACGAAATGAAAAATAATCACGTTTCCCGTTTAATATCTAATATATAAAATTCTCGTGTCATAGTTTGCGTTGCCATACTCCTCCAAAACGGCTCGACCGCTTCTCATGAAATTTTGTGTGCATATTGGGTATGTCTGAGAATCGGACAACATCTATTTTTCATCTCCCTAAATGTTAAGGGTAGTCCAACCCTAAATATTTTTTTTTATTTTTAGATATTTTTTTCTGTTTTACAGCATTAAAAAATACATACAAACGATTGAAATTTTTGTATTAAAGAAAATGATATAATTATATACAGTCAAAGGTGCCGGCTGAATTCTATTGTATTAGGTTCTCTTAATAACAACGTTCGTCTATCGGTTTTTACGACCCAATATGAGTAGTCCCTTCGATGTCGATATAACAGATTTTGACTGTGATAGATGAAACAATCTAGCTTAGCACTCTGGTAGAGTGAATCATAGTATAGACTTTAGAGTTATTAATAATAAAAAATGATAGATGGAAGCCCCAAACCTACCAAAATTTAATATTATTAATTTTAATTTGAACCTAACACCAAATAGATGTCTACCTTGTACTAGAATAAAGTCTTTAATAACGATAACTAACATCACGCCCATCTTCAAGAATTTCTGAAGTTTTATAATGATATTCAGAAACGAGACGTATCTGTCACAACTGTCAAGGGTGACTTTCCGATGCCATTGCAGAGGCTGGTAGGTTTTGACAAGCTTTAAAACTACTTTTTTTATGTAATAGGAAAACGGGCAGGAGTCTCACCTGATGTTAAGTGATACCGCCGCCCATGGACACTCACACTGCCAGAAGGCTCGCAAGCGCGTTGCCGGCCTTTCAAGAATTGGTACGCTCTTTTCTTCAAGGAAAAGTCGAATTGAAACTACTTACTGAAAGTGCCACATGGACCGTGTAAAGTCATCATCCATGAGGCTAAAGACAGCTTCCACGTCTCCGCTGGGCAACCGCTCCGGCATTTTCTCCACATGCCAACGAGCTATCCGCGCGAATCCGTGCATCGGACCGAACGCCCAATCGCCAAATTGGGCTGAAACAAATAATTATAATTAAATATTTTTGAATTTATCGTCTATACAACATAACCAACTCTGATTGTACGGTAATAATACCCAGCAGATCTTGAATTTTATAATTATTTCATATTATTATTTTCTTTAACAGTATTTTTATTAAAAAATAAAAATGTGTGTGTACTTATGTACACGCGTTAGAAGTTATACTTTGGCGTAACAAGATAAAAATCATTTTACATTTTTATTTTTGTCTTTCGCCTTATTCTACCTTTAAAATACGACACTAACAATAGAAAAACGGTATAAATTGATACATTAAAAGCTTTACTATAACGCATTATCTAGTTATTAAATATTTCTACATAATTAAAGAAATGCACATTTTTTATTTTAAAATGTTGAGTTTTTTAACTTCAGGGTATCGGTTTTTTTTTGACGGTGTGCGCGCGCATCGTAAAAATTTACTCTCATTATTTTTCCCTAACGCGCCAAAGGAAGTACATATAACTTAAAAAATATGGAAAATTAAATGAACGCAGACCAATTGCCGGCCTTATATGGCATCGACCTTCCACAAGAACATCCTATGACATGATGATTATGTTTTGTCTTTTTTTGTTTCGAAAACCACAGACTATTACTATTATAGAATAATTCTAGCCACTCCTATAGTTCCACAAGGCAACCCGACCCAAACCACTAGGCATAAAGCAGCACCCTGATCTTCATACACTTCTAGACTAAAGTGCAGAAATATTTCTGCATATATTCTTTACTAAACGAATACATATATAATTATCCCGTCATCTTCCTTCGAATTTATATCATTTTCATTCAAAATTTCGGTATTTACGCTCAATGTATAAATGCCTACTAACAATACAAATGAGCGCAAAATATATACTATTAAATAATTAATATTAGAGTTGTAATAGGAAACTGTTAGTTAAAATTAATATTGCAGAATTCTTAGACCAATGCCAAGGGCACATTAATATGATTCGTTTCGCTCGTAACACATATTACACGGTTATTATGTTGCGTTGGGTGATCTACCAAATCTGTTAGAACACGATTCAAAAGTAATAAACAGGAAATAATTATGTTACCAGTACTGTGTGTTTTAACTTCTGTAATTTCGTTATTAGCTGCGCAGTAGTCGTTATTTCTTCCTACTGAATGTACAAGTGTAAGCTTATCCCTAATCAGCGAAATTCGGGCCAAAGAATGTGTGGTTTTGCGTCGTTTAAACACAACTGATGTGTCTCTTTTCATGACAGCGTTAACACAATGTGACAGAAAGAGACGAAAAGTACTTAAGCTAAAATAAGACTGAATTAGTTTTAAGTATAAGCATTCAACTATGCCTACAGCCTACAGTTATATCTATGTCGCAGCCAACTAGCTTAATTAGCCGAGCAATCAACAGCCTTAGCCTCTTAACTAAACAGCGCCGTTTAACTAGCGGCCTGAAAGATATTGGCCAGGTGATCAAACAGCTAGGCAGATGACTTGGATCAATGACGTTTTATTACTTGCCTAGTCTATTAATTTAAATTCAGTTCCACTTTCTGCCCTCTCAAACTGGAAACGAAATTCTTCAAACTGTCAATATGCCGTCGAAAAGCCACAATTTTGCTGTTGTTTTCTAAATTTTAATGAAAAACAACAAGCACAATGGAAGAGTGTAGTGACAATAATAATGTGAATTTATCTGTGACTGACTCAAGCAATTTAATTTTTAGAGAAATATGTTTTTATGTCAGATGTTTCACCTTTTTTATTTCTGTCACATGGTCACTCTATCGTATGAATGGCCTAAGCATTAGCCAGCCAGTTTATTAAATGTTGTAACAAACCCTACGGCTGAATATCTTTCAGCCCGCTAGTTAAACGGCGCTGTTTAATTAAAAGACTAGGCTGTTACTTGAACGGCTAATTAAGCTAGTTGGCTGTGACATCTACACCACAGTTAAAATATCTCTTAAGAGTCTTTTAAATCAATTAAATTTTACATATGGGCGTCAAAGTTAGAAATTTTCGTCTCTGAATCTCACCCTTAACAGAACACCCACGGTAAGCGACTAATATAATAGAAAATTTGGTTTATACACAGAATTCAGTAAAGAAAATACTTACGGAATACAAACGGTACTCCCCCTCGTATCGGTCGCTTGCCATCGAAAATTGCTTGTTTGCTGAAAAGAAAAAAAAATAACATTACTACAAAATAAACATCGAAAGATCGAATTTCCAAGGAAATTAGCTGAACATTGCAACTGTTACCAATTCCGCGCAATTTATAAATTGACAAAAATTTGGTTCTTATTTAACGGGCTTTTTAATATCATTTTTTTCATTGAATTCTTAAATAGCAACAGTTATTTATATACAAGTCTAAAGCTTCCTAAACATATATACATGCAGTATATCCGTTTATGATCAAGCATTGCACGATTTTATATTACAAAAACGTGGTAAGTCAGCTTTATATAGAGAATAAGTACTTTAATTAAAATGGTGTAATAAGACTCTAATTACATCATTAAGTAATTATATATCTAGCGTTTATTTTCTTTTCGACTGCATTTCGTGTATTTTGGCAAGATTATTTGCGACCTTTTCAAAAGTAATCGTTCTATTTTTGACAATTTACATAAAACCTTCATTTATTATACACCTAAACCTTCCTCAGGGATTCCTATCTCTGAGTTTATTGCGTACATACACACAAACGACTACATTTTACAATATACTAACCATATATACATAAATTAAAAACAAACAAAAACGGATCTATTGTCTATGAAGCACAAATTTCAAGGAATATATATTTATTTCTAAAAAGACAACAGAGATCAACGATTTCCCAGATACCTGTGCAGTTTTTATTGGAAAATTCAACTGTCGTTTATTTTTCTTTACTTATTATTTATGTTTACCGTTGAAACCTTCCCTTCATAATTAGCTAAATCGGTCCAGCCATTCTCGGGTTTCGGCGAGAGAGCAATTTATTCGTATATCTTTATATATATAAATTACTCGTCACGTTGTTTGTCCGCTATGGACTCCTACCCTATTTAACCGATTTCAATCAAATTTTCACACCGTGTACAACATAAAAGATCAGTGATCAGTGTATATCACTGAACTGCTCTGAAACGGCTGGACCGATGGATTTTTTGTATGCGCTTGGGTGGAGCCCTGGATGGTTTAGATTCACAAATCAGCCCGGCAGATGGCGCTGCAGTCGGTACTATCCTTTGTTCAATACCCTAATCGCTTGAAATATCATGCAGGACAATGTCTGTCGAGTCTGCTAGTTTATCTATATATAGGAATGTATTGCTGATTATCATATCCATGACTAACTGATACTCACGTCTCAATGTAGCCATTAACAGTAAATGAGTATAAATTCCTATAAATGAAAGAAAATACTATAATTCAGTGTTTCGTGCGACGTATCGATTATCGCCTTTTCGATCGCCAATTTAAAATAATTGTAAATGAGGTTTTTATACGTTGAACAAGTTAAAGGACGCCATCTTTTTGGTGTCATATAAGCCACGCCCAATGAGTACTCAGACACATTTCTATGTTTACTTCATTGGAAATTAATCCAGCCTTAATTTTGCATAAAAATTTCAAGTATTACGGCACGCAATTTTTGGAGATTCTTGACCCCCCCATGTAACGCCCCGTAAAGTTTTTCTGTACCCAAACTCTTTATATCTAAAAGTTACAATTATATTGTAAATTATGGTGTAAAGTACTGGAAAGTCGAAAATAATATTAACAATAACGCGTAATTCTATCCCTGCCCCGCATCGTAACGTTTTACAAAAGGACCTTTCCCCCCCAAATTCTTTACGTAATACTTTAACGCTCCCTAAGTCGAGTTGATTTTACGCGATACATGTTACTGTGCATTTATTAAGATTTTTTACATTGCCAAAACTAGTTTAGATTACGACGCAAACTATCCGTGAAAAAAAATATTTACACAGTTAAAACTGAGAACCTTAGTTTATTTAACGCTTTATACGTAAGCAATTTCAAAAATAATGAGTACGACATTATTTTAAACCCTATGTCCATTTATATGAATGTCCATACATACATAACATAAATCAATGGCGCTACAACCTTTTTAGGTCTGGGCCTCAGATTTTTGTACCTGTTTCATGATCATTTGTTAATCTAATAGGCTAGTAGGTGATCAGCCTTCTATGCCTGACGCACGCCTTCAACTTTTTGGGTCTAAGGGAAGCCGGTTTCCTCACAATGTTTTCCTTCACCGTTGGAGCGAATGTTAAATGCGCTCATCCTCACCTCCCGCAAACATTAAAACCAATCCTCCCTTTTAAAAAATCTAAAAATAGGATTTCTTCCGTATTAACAAAACAAAGTAGTGATTTTGTCATCTCCACCAATCTATGGTCTATTCTTGCTGTGAAAAAAGTAAAAAAGTGATAAAAATCAAAAATACAAAAATTTCCACACAAAAGTCATCGCACCCAATCGACTACTTCATCTGACTATCTTGATAGAACTCCGACCCCATCTTACACCATTTCAAAATTTTATCTTCTGAAATCGGGAGATTTTTAAAAAAAAGAAAACCACTGACGTGTCCCATTGGGGTACAACTAACAAACCATACCACCATCGACCCAAAAGTTATACAAGAAGGTGGTCTTAGATTTTTCTGCATCACCGAAAAAATTTTACAGTTAAAAATAAACAAAAGGTTATAACACCTTTAACGAAAATTGCGGGAGACCAATCGACACCCCACGTTTTCTTTACACCATCAGAACCGCGCGGAATCTATTTAAAGGTACCAATCCAGATTTTTCCCTTATAAACTAAGCTCCTAAACTTTTTTCTCCTACCACTGCACTGTCGGAGAATCCATTATTTTGCGCCGCGGATAGGCTCACGGTATAGATCTCACACCTTATTTTGATATATTCGGCAAAAATTTTTGACCAATATTGGCTTCAACCTGGAAGAAAAAAAGGGAAAAGTCGGGATAACCGAACGGTGCATTTTAGCGCGATTTTAAGCCGAATCAGTATACTAAAAGTATACTGGAGTTTTACCGCCTGGTCGAACCCTACGGGAACATATTCAAAATTTTTTAACTTTATTTTTCAAAATTTAATTTAGTAAATATTTAATAAATTAGAGCAAACCAACTTTGGCAGAACGGTGCACCCAGGCTAAAAATAACATCATTTTCGGCTTAGTTAGGGTGGAAAAAGGGTTATAGGGACGTGTCGCTCACTGGACCTTTACCCCCTACCCCCCTTACTACCACACCCCCTAGCAAAACTCAACCTCACAACATACACATGTGACACTCTATCGACTCCTCGTAAAAAGGCAGTCTATTGATCCAACTCATACACCCCACCCCACCAAATTCCCCAAATACACGAAACATAATTCACACACAAACACATAATCGACGGCTTTCAACTCCTCAACTCGGATTGCGCTTCCACTCTACTTCAATTAACACACCACGCACAGTATCACACACACAAATACAGGTCCAGAAACTCAATTGCACCTCATTCGACTCCCTGATTGCACGGATCCCTCAGTAGTTGCCCGTCCAAGCACACCACCACACACACACACACACACACATACATATAAAGTGAAGGTCAGGTGGCCCTCTCCCGCTTTTCTTACAATAAATGATACACCGCTCCTATGGGTATCAGTACTGCGACACTAGGCTAATACAGGGCTATCCTTTTGAAACCCTCTTAGACATAAGTATTTGACACGGCTACCACCCTTTAAGGGGTAGACCCTAGTATAAGTTATAAAAAATTTTGACAATTTGACGGCTGCTACCCCTTTTGGGGACAGACCCTAGTATAAGCTTAGTATTATATAGACTATATAGATTGCATTATATAGATTGCATTTTATTATATTTTGACACACCACACCTCTTTACTCTCATTAAATAAAACTAAACAATGTTTGGTATACGCACCCCAACCAAATCACCACCCCGTCACCCCATCTCTGGAAAGAGGAGAGTGAAGGATCGGCCCCTTACACCCCGACCCCGACCTTAACCCCACAGTGAGAAAAACATCGGAGAATGGAACGGCTATAGCTCAATCGAAGGGCAAACAAAATCATATAAAAATAGACTAACTGAAGCCCAGCGGTGCAACAAGCGCTCTTCTCCAGCTGACGCTGCCAAAATCTAAAGGGCGAAATAAAACACGGTTACCTCGGCAGTAAAGAGACTGTACGAACTAGTGAAAGAGGCCGAGTCTCAAACAAGGAAGGAAAGGATAAGAAGAAGGAAAAGGAAGGGAAGCAGGTAGTGGTAAAAGAGATGACAAAAATAAACTTACAACATAACACCACACCCAAATAAAACCCACAAATGACACCCTACGGTTGAAAAGAAACCAAAAACTGAATATCACAAATTACTCCAGGACACAACATACAAAAGAAAACCAGACGCCGTCCAACGAACAAAAAAGCAGAAATACTTCATACTTGAGGGAAACGCAAGAAGCTCGATATTAAGGGAAAGGATAGGAAAAAGGAGAGCTAAAGAAATCAAAAACTATAGAAACACAAATTGAAAAAAAGAAAACCGGATCGGGAAAAATCGACACTCCTACGTTTTGGCACAATCAAACTCCACACACCCCCACCACCCAAACAACCAGATCCTAAACCACCCCTCACATACAACCAAACTCACAACTAGTAGTAAAGTCCACTAGCCAAGAAACAAATTCAGAGGTTTACGAAAGGATACGCTCGGCAATAACCCGAAAACTACTGGCTCGGTTGGATACCATCCCAAAACCAAGGATCAGAAAGTGATATGGGGTGCCGACGGAAACCAAATAAAAGAACTGACTGAAAGACTCTAGGGGACAAGACCTTACAGTGATTGAAACACAAGACCCACTAGTCATGCTGAGCGTCTGCATTCACAAAACGCGAAATAATCGAACTTATGAGGCACAACAAACAAATATTCTCAGATTAAAGAGGAGGAACAAAATAACTGTTAAAAGACCAACACAAAACCCTCCCTCGAACATAATACTACAAGTGTCCCCCACAATCTGGAAAAGAATGGTGGAGGCGGGAAGAGTGCACTTGAACTGCAAAGAGTGGTGTTCCACCAGTCCCACTGATCAGTGCACAAATTGTTTGGGC